TCGACGGGCACCAGAGACATACAGGGAAGAACTGAGCTGTTTGGCACTGGAGCAAGGGCTGGAGAGGAGGCTTTCTCCGGGACAAACATGCTGTCAGAGGCCTTTGTTCCTTTGGTGAGACCTTTCCTGGGGCAACAGACAGTTGCTGGGGGACTCCAGCAACCTGACTCACACTGGTAGCCCCGCCCTGCTGACTCCCTGAGGCCCCGCCCCACCCAGCTTTCAGGCCCACCCAAGCTGTTGCCACTTGCTTAACCATAGGATTGGCCTGTCTTCGATCCTGCTTCAGGTTTTCCTAAATTCTTTCAAACAAGAAGCATCTGGTCTCAGATAGCCCCATACTTCTCGTTAAGTAATAAACAGAAACAAACACAGGGAGGCGGCCAAAATGAGGAGACAAAGAAACAGGTCCCAAATGAAAGAACAGAACAAAGCCCCAAGAAAAGAACTAAGAGAAATGGAGATGAACAACCTAACAGATGCTGAGTTCAAAATACTGCTTATAAGGATGCTCAGTGAACTTAGTGAGAACCTCAGTGAACTTAGTGAGGGCCTCAAGAGCATAGAAAAGGACCAGTCAGAAATGAAGGATGTACAGTCAGAAATGAAGAAGGCACTAACTGAAATAAGGAATAAATGACACAGATTCAATAGTAGAGTAGATAAAGCCAAGGAGCAAACCATCAATTTGGAATATAAGGAAGCAAAAAATGCCCAATCAGAACAGCAAAAGGAAAAAAGAATCCAAAAAACTGAGGATCGTGTAAGGAGCCTCTGGGACAACTTCAAGCATGCCAACATTCACATCTTGGGGGTACCAGAAGGAGAAGAGAGAAAACAAGAAATCGAAAACCTATTTGAAACAATAATGGCAGAAAACTTCCCTAACTTGGTGAAGAAAACAGACATACAAGTCCAGGAAGCACAGAGTGTGCCAAACAAGATGAACCCCAAGAGGCCCACACCAAGACATCATCATCAAAATGCAAAAGGTTCAAGACAAAGAGAGAATCTTAAAAGTAGCAAGAGAAAAGCAGATAGTCACCTACAAAGGAGTTCCCATCAGACTGTCAGCTGATTTCTCAAAAGAGACCTTCCAGGCAAGAAGGGGCTGGAAAGAAATATTCCAAGTCATGAAAGGCAAGGACCTACAACCAAGATTACTCTATCCTGCAAAGCTGTCATGTAGAATCGATGGCCATACAAAGACTTTCCCAGACAGGAAAAAGTTAAAGGAGTTCACCACCACCAAACTATTATTATATGAAATGTTGAAGGGTCTTCTTGAAGAAAAAGATAAAAAAATATGAACAAACAAAATGGCAATGAATACATATCTATCGCCAATGGAATCTACAAACAAAATGAACAAGCAGAACAGAAGCACTCTCATAGATACAGAGAACATTTTGTTGGTTGCCAGATGGGAGGGGGTTGGGGGAATGGGTAAAAAAGGTGAAGGGATTAAGAAGTACAAATTGGTTGTTTGAGGAACCTCAAAGGGGGTGGGGGGTGGGAAGACATAAACCGAAGAACTTATATGTATATATGCATAACCAGTGGGCACAGACAAGAATGTTGGAAAGGCGGGAGGGTGCGGGAATGGGGAGGAGGAGGTCAATAGGGGGAAAATAAGGAACATCTGTAATACATTCAACAATAAAGATAAGTTATAAAAAAAGAAGCTCTATAAAAATGTATTATCACCCTGGCCGGTTTGGCTCAGCGGTTAGAGCGTCGGCCTGCGGTCCGGAGAGACCCGGGTTCGGTTCCCGCTAAGGGCACGTACTTCGGTTGCAGTTTGTCCCCGGCCCTGGTTGGTCGTGCGGGTGGCAGCCACTCAATGTGTCCCTTCACGTCGATGTTTCTCTCTCTCTCTCCCTTCCTCTCTCTCCCTCCCACTCTATCTGTTCAAAAAATGGAAAAATATCCTCGGGTGAGGATTAAAAAAAAAAAAAAATGTATTATCAAGTCAATTAATATCTATTTAGCATCTGCAAAGGGACACAATATCCATCTACCAGGAAGGAGCTTATAATAGGAAGGCATTTTTTATATGTGTATATAGGTCCTATGTGTACAGATAACTGATAATTCAAGAAGGTATATAAGAAATATGTTAGCCCTGGCCGGTTCTGCCCAGCGGTTAGAGCGTCAGCCTGCGGTCCAGAGAGACTTGGGTTTAGTTCCCACTAAGGGCGCGTACCTCGGTTGCAGTTTGTCCCCAGCCCTGGTTGGGTCATGTGGGTGGCAGCCACCCGATATGTCCCTTTCACGTCGATGTTTCTCTTTCTCTTCCTCTTTCTCTCTCTCCCTCCCACTCTATCTGAACAAGAAATGGAAAAATGTCCTCGGGTGAGGATTAAAAAAAAGAAAGAAAGAAAAACTTGAATGATTTTTTTATGAGTATTTGGATATTCCATGAAACTCTCCTAAAAGCTCATTAGTATTTCCTAGATTTTCTTCAGTAAATATGTATTGCTGTTATAATAATTTACTTATTTCAAAAAGGAGAATGCTAGTTTGGGGAAAAGATTATTTTAGGGTTTATTTACTAATTCATTCCTTCATTCCTCAAGTATTCATTGTAGTACTCACAACATGCCGAGCACAGTATGACAACCTGATCCTGACTAGATGTTTGAGATGAGAAATGAGAAACAGTTCACTTCCTTCCAGAAGCATTCAGTCTAGCAGGGAGCCGGGGACACAGGCCGATGGCTCCAGTGTGATAGGACAGAAAACGTGGTCCCTGCATAGTCAGCAGTGTGGGGAGAGCCGCCTAGATGTGTGTGTTGGAATCTGGGAAGACGCGACATTTAAGACACTGTTTTAGGGAAGCCTTGAAATTTGCCAGGTCGGCAGGTGAGCTGAGAGAAGGCACTTCTCCAGAGGAGACAGCTGCGTGCGAGGTTCGGGCAGGACACCAGGTGCAAACACCAGCTTGGCCTAGACCAGGAGAGCATCAGGCCGGGGTAACCCGAGTGGGGCGTGCCTGCAGCCTCGAAGCTGCACGAGCTCTCTGAAGTAGAATGTCTTGAAGAAAGCCTTTCAAAGCCATGGAAGGAAGAAGATGCCATTGAGGACCTAGAGAAGTAGGAAGGTCGGAATATGATGTGGAGGCTCAAGAAAACAGATATGAGTGGTCAGTGGAGTCCGGTGCTGCAGAGACACAGCCACTTTGTGATGCGTTTCTAGTCTTTGTTCTGTTTCTGTTGTTCAAAATCATATCATATAGTCTGCCCTGGCCTGTTTGGCTCAGTTGTTAGAGCGATGGCCCGCAGACCAAAGAGTCGCGGGTTCAGTTCTTGGGTGGTTGGGGTCATGCAGGAAGCAACCAGTTGATGTGTCTCTCTTACATCAATGTTTCTCTCCACCCCCCTCCTCCCGTCTGTCCCTCAGTCCCTCCAACTCTATCTGAAAATCAATGGAAGAATATCCTCAGGTGAGGATTTAAAAAAAAAATTATAGTCTATGTGCAGTTTTATGTCCTGCCCTTTTTTTTTTTTTTTTTATCCTCACCCGAGGACATTTTTCCATTTTTTGTACAGATAGAGTGGGAGGGAGAGAGAGGAAGAGACAGAGAGAGAGAAACATCGACGTGAAGGGACACATCGAGTGGCTGCCACCGCACGACCAACCAGGGCCGGGGACAAACTGCAACCGAAGTACGTGCCCTTAGCGGGAACCGAACCCGGGTCTCTCCGGACCGCAGACCGATGCTCTAACCGCTGAGCCAAACCGGCCAGGGCTATGTCCTGCCTTTTCAATAAGTGAATGAACTATGATTTATTTACTTTTTCTTTTCTTTTCATTTTTTCTTTTTAGCTTTTGTGTATTTGGGGTTTTCCCTCCACTCTGGAAACAAATAAACTTAAAGAATTCAGGAGAATGGCTTATGGAAAAATGGATGCAGGTGTAAAATATTCCTAAAGTTAGCAGCGAGCTTCCTAAACTGAAACAAAGATGAATGATTCATTTTTGCGTTCTGGGCACCTGCATCAGTGACTGGTAATGAATGAAAGAATGGAATTAAGCAATAGCGGTAGAGATATTAGGATGAATTCTAGGTTTGTAGTTCTGTGTTTCTGTTTTGTTTTGTTCTTTTGCTAGTGAAAACTTACATATACTTATGGAGGCACAGAGTATAAATTGTAGTCTCTTTAGCCTTGGAAAATAGGAGGATACCTTTATCTCCTGAGACTGAGAGCAGGAGGGCGTGGGCTCTGTGCAGACGTTTTCAAGATAGGAAAGAACAGGGAGCCTAGGCCCTGCGCAGACTTCCTCTCGGGGCAGCAGTAGATGGTGCGTGCGCCGAGTGGGGTGAGGAGACGGTGTGATTCCAGGCTGTGTCATTAAGGCTCATGGAGACTGCGAGCGAATGTTTGCTTGTTCTTTGGAGGAGGAGGAGAGTGGGAAGAGCAGCGAGAGGTAACAGTAGGATTGCCGAGGAGCATTGAGGACCTCGCAGGAGGCCAGTAGGACAGTTAGAGATGAGAGGCTCATGGACTCATTCCTGTCTCTGTGCTAGTAACATAGATTGTAAGGATTTAAATGGAAGACTACTTTTTTCTCCAGAATATAGTTTTTTGTTTTGTTTTGTTTTTAAATACGTTTTTATTGATGATTTTTTAGAGAGAGAGATAGAAACATCAATGTGAGAGAGAAACATCAATCGGCTGCCTCCTGCACGCCCCCTATTGGAGATCAAGCCACAACCCAGGCTTGTGCCCTGACTGGGAATCGAACTGGGACCACTCAGTCCATGGGACCATGCTCAGTCCACTGAGCCACACTGGCCTGGCAGAATACACTGTTTTTAGTCTTAGAGTTAAGAGATCTATTTAACTTCAGTTCTTAGTAGGAAAAAAAATAGTTATTTTAATATTATGTACAATTACATCACCAGAGAACACAAGCATTTGTTATGAGCATTGTTTCCTCAACTATAAGACACATTTACCCCGTACTTCTGTCTTTGACAGTAAACAGAAACTCACCTTCATTGATGAAAGTTACTGGTGGTATCTTGAAAGGGCTTTTGGTGGGGGAAGTTGGTAGATCCGGTGGAGGCATTAAGTCTCTGGGATCACCAGGATCCCTCTGGATCTCATTACCTGCCAGCAGCCCGGGTGTGTACTGGTGACTGCTAGGAATGTGTCGTGGCACAACCTGGACAAGCGGAGGAGACACATGGGGGTCTTGTCGGGAGAATATCCTCAAACACTGTTCTTCCAACAATGTGATCATCACAGACTGGTTATTGACAAGATCAGTCAAGGAAGCATATTTCGCCTCTAGCTCCCTATACCTTGTTGCCATCCTCAACATTTCTGTGGTGACATTGAGGATTTTATTTTCCAACTGGGAAAGTTCGAGAGAATTGTCCCTCTTCCGGATGATCTCATGTAACAGTTGCATGTAGAGTTGGGTGACTCGAGAGTTCATGTTCCGGCTCTCTTTTCTCAGCAGCTTGACCTCGTTCACAATGTTTCCATCCACGTCCACCACCAGCTGCAGGACATCTATCTCCCGCTTCTGCTTGGACAGCACATCCTTCAGGTTCTCAAGGTCCATCCTGGTGATCATGTCTTTAATGTTCCCTGCATCTTGCCCTTTGGTGTTGACACAAATTGGCCCTGTTATTTTCTGTTCAGGGACCAGGAATGTGTATGCGCATTTCTTCACCTCCTCTTTGCCAGCTGTAGCACGAGGGTACCTCCTCTGGCTTACTTTTTTAATTGTGAACTGTCCTCTGCAGTGCCCGGTGCCCGTTAATAGGAAGAGTAACACAATTAGGGTCCAGATAAAAGCCTTCATTTTGAAATGAGCTTGTGTGATGTCTTCTGAAAAACAAACCAATGAAGGTAGAAGTAAAAGGAATTAATATTAATCTACTTTTAATGTCAATAATATAAAAAAGCATCTAAGGGAAGACTGAATATCTGTTTGTTAATAAGTTGGACCAGAATGAACGTTATTTGTTTCTTAGGTTCAGTATCATGGTGCCTTCACATTTGTTTAAAAACTAGGTTTCTGAGACCACGTGCCACCTCATGGCTTCTTGTTCCCCAGCTCAGTGAGCAGACTTTGATGAGCGTCCACCATAGGCAGAGACATCCTAATCAGAACTTTCTGACCTTTAAAAGGCTCACTTACCCTCTGAAAACTGTTAAAACGGCACACAATATTTGTAAGGCATTAATTAAAACATTGTTTCCTCACTAGTGTTAAAGTTACTAGGTGACTACTAAGTCTGTTTTATATTACACTGTGCAGTTTCAACTAAATGAACCCTCTCAATAAATATCTTTTTAAACCATCAAAGAAACTAAAAAGATAAGTTTCAAACCAGCAAGTTTTAGCATCATATTTTTGGTGTGTTTTTTTGTTTTATTTTTTAATCCTCACCTGAGGATATTTTTCCATTGATTTTTCAGATACAGTGAGAGAGAGAGAAACATTGATGTGAGAGACACAGTGATTGGTTGCCTTCTGCACAACCAGGGCCAGGGACTGAACCACAACCTAGGCATGTGCCCTTGACCAGAATCGAACCCACAATTCTTTTCCACAGTCCGACGCTCTAACTGCTGAGCCAAACCAGCCAGGGCATATTTTTGTTTTTATAGCATGTCCTTTTGGGATTGGGGACAAGTTTAAGAAAGATAGAATACTTACAGTCAGTATTGTGGATAATTGTGTTTCTAAACCATATTATTTATGCTGTAAACCTGTGTATAATTCAGCAGATTCATTGTCCTAGCAGGTTCCACTGACCTGTGTGTTAGTAACATGGGAACTTGCTGTAACCATTACCAAGGAAAGGCACTGCCTGTAATTGAAGGTGATAGAGTTGGGAAGTGCCTTTGAATCCACCTTATTCGAGAACCTCTGCGCCGGTGGCCATGGTGAGAGCCACGGGCACACGGGAGGCGCGCGGGGAGCCAGGGCAGGGACTCGGGTTCCCTGGCTCTGCAGCGTGTTCATAGCAGTGGCTCACGCGCTGAAACGCGTGCTCGGAATGTTTCACTTTTGCTCTGGGAGATGAGAAATACGTGTCCTCTGTGGTACAGCTTCTGAGGAGACACTAGAACTAGTTTTGTTCCAAGTTCCCTGCGGTCACCTCCCTAAAGAGGAGGAGCAGCAGGATGGACGGCTCCCTCAGGTTCGTCGACAGCTGCTGTGGCGCAGGCCACCTTCCCCTCCGGGGAACTTGGCCCCTCTCGGCCTTTCTGGAGGATGGCAGTGGACGTGTTAAAGCAGAGCTTTTCTATCCCGTTTTCCACCCAAGTGTTTCTTATTTGAGAAGCTAAGGCCTAGGTTTTTACGCCTGCTATCAATCAATGATTACAACGCAGTAATAACCAGCGTTCATACTTCCTGCATGCCTGCTAAATAAATGCCAGGCATTGTTGTAAGCCCTTCACATGTATTAAGTCATTTGTGTCTCATCACAACCCTCTGAGGTAGATTATTACTTTCCTCATTTTCCGATGAAGAAACTCTAGCAGTTAGGTGCCTTACCCAGAGCCGCACGGCTTCTGAGAGATGGGGCCACAGTTTGAACCCAGCAGACCCCAGGGCCCATATTTTCCATTAACCTGTGTGCTGAATCACATGGCAGCATACTCTTCTGTTTTCTGTCGGCAGCATTACAACAGTCCCCTATATTTATGTTTGCTTGACACATGTTAACTATTTGCATTTGCACCATTTTGCAAAGGAATAAATTCCTGGAGAAGCAAAAACACTCAAGCAGGATTCAGATCTTCGTGTAACTTTTCTAGACCTGTGGTTTTCATCCTAGTCATGTGGTCACTACAGAGAAGTCTTAACTTTGTGTTTCTTGTTTTTCACAGAATGAGGGTGGGGGGTGGAGGGGTAGATCATGGAAATAAAGAATGGATGGAGTGTGGGGAATTCTTGTCCTTTTACAAAAGGATGTAGACATGAGGGATGAGCACAGTAACATCCCACATCCATATCAGAGGCCTCCTGTTGCTGACTGATCGCCAAAAGCACACTTGGTTGAGTCCTTTGCGTTTTTTGTTTCATACTTGGCCTTCTGACATCAGTAGAAAATTTAGACCTTAGGAGTCTTCTGTTTTATTTTAGAAAGGACTCTGACTATCTGGAGTTACCTACACCAAAAATGGATAAAAGATATTTTGTTATATTTATGGATTCATGGAATTTAAATGTGGTTTAATTTAAAAACAGGGCAAAAATACATACATACATACTTACACGAACAAAACAAACTGAGGACAGTACAACCGCAGCCTCAGCCTCCTGGGTACATGCACAGATTTCTCCTCCAGTTACTAACCTAGTGCTCAGACCCTCTCATTTCACATCCGTAACAGAACAGAAACTCTTAGATCATAGTTATTTTACCTTAATAATCTACCACGAAATAAGCTACCAAAACAAGGAAAATTTGGGAAGTACTGTGAAACTTCAAAGCAAGTGGAATTGTATGAACAGTATTCTATTTGAAAAGCTTGCGTTGCTGTCAGACACAGATTTTTATGGAACAACCAAGAGCATATAACCCAAGCCCGTTACTGTGACTTGGCATTGGTGTTGTCACAGAAGAACAAAGATGTGAAAGGACAAATCCGACTTAAAGCTGCACTCGCTTCCTGTTGGTGTGTTCTGCCTTGGCTTCGTGGGCGCCAGTGCAGTTAGGCAGACCCTGAGTCCCTGTCCACCGTCGGCGAATCTGACCCAAATGTGTACTGAAAGGAGGCAACTGGAGGTTTATTTTGTTTTAAATAAATACAATTCCCTTGTTCTCACAGAAGTGTGCTGACTTTGTTGTCATCTAAAACAGAGGAAGGAGCCAGATTTTTTAGTAGTAGCCTGAGCTACGTCATGAGTAAAGGAGTAGTTTTAAAAATACATTTACTGTTACATTTTCAGAAACATTCTTTTATTTAATATTTTCCCACATATGTTCAGTTTTAAAAGTGAAAGATCCATAAATCTGTGTTACCTCATAAAACCCTCTGTGTATGTTAAAAATTTTCCTAGGTCCCAGGAGACTGTTATAAATTAGTTACGGTATACTTAAGTTTAAATCTGCCTTTGCTTGGTTGTTTTTCAGGGGGAAAAGTCTTCCATGCTTTGGGTTAATTTTATTGGTATTTTTTCTCTTCATAGTTGCTACAGTGCCAGCTAGTAGGGAGGAGGAATAGTCAGGATTGACTCCCTCTCAGATGGTGAGCGCAGGCACCTCAGTGCCCCTGTCGCCCTGAAACAGCTGAGGCAGCCAACTTCAGTTTAGGAAGCACTGAGTGTACCTTAGATAAAGCACTTCCAGATTGTGGATTGTGTCCCTGGAAGAGACTAGTTTAGTTGTCTGTAGGCTTTGGGTTTTAGATTAAATGCTTCCCTAAGGCTTCAGCAGGAAGAGGTATAATGAGGTCCTGCACTTTTCATAGCAAACAACCAAAAGATGACAAGTATTTCAGATCCTGTACTGCTTGGAAATTTTATCAGAATTTCTTGTAAAATGTGGTTCACAGAGAGCTTCCCAGTATTTAGAGTCAAGAATATTTAAGGAAAGGACATGAAAGTAAAGTGGAAGAAATTTTAGCTTTACCATGATTTGCTTGTTGAAGATTCTTGCAGTTAGTATCTTTAATGTTTAAAAGGACAGAAGATCCCCAAAGCAAACAAACTTACATATCTTTGGTGTTAAAGCTTACTAATTAGTAACTAGTAATTTTATTGTTAATAATTCTCACAATACAATTAAAGCCCCCAGATGAAATATTGAAAAGAAATCTTGCTTGGAGTTACCAAAATTATTTCTATATAAAATTCTTATATATTTTCTATCTTTTAATTATGTATTTAAGTAATTGTAGCTCCAGGGTTTTATTTTCTATTGTTAATACCGACTTACATAATACTTTCATCACATTTTCTTTTTCTCTCCAATCCTAATCTGTAAGGTTTTAGGGCATTTTTATTATCAGTAACTTTGCTTTTTCAATTAATTCCAGTTGTAGTAGTTTTTATTTATTACCCAAATTAAATTACTGTTACATGTAAACCTTGGAAAATATTTAAAATGTTGAGTTTTAACAAGAAATACTATACACTTGTCTTAAATCATTATAAGGATTTCTGCTTATATTTGGTTATACTATAATTGAGATATTGTTGCAAAGCCTTTCAGTTAATTTTATATATACTTAGCTGTATTTTTTAGGTATAGTTTACGATATCTAACAGTATCTAAATCTTCAGCGCTGTAGCTGCGTGAAGAAGACCAATGTTTATAATTATTTTTTTAAGTTTATATCCCTTTGTTTTGATCACTGTGCTATAAATATAAACATTAAACTTTAATCGTAAAGTGAAAATTTCTCCCTAGAGTCACGAAAGCACTTGTTTTCTGAAACCCAGCATATATACATTAATCTAAAAGCATGTCACTACATATCATTCAATTGATCACAAATAATGCACATTAATCACTGTAAAGTACATAATGATTAGTTTTCACATAAAGTTGCAAAAAACCTTTTTCAGATTGAATATATTGTAGTGTATTCCAAAATTCTTTAATAAGAGATTTTGAAACTTACACGACAAATGTAAAATATTTATGCATTCTGACACACATTAGAATTGTTAAATACAAGCATTAAAATACCTTTTGCATCTGTTGATAAAGCAAACGCAGAAACTTGCCGCCCTTATTCTTGCTTTTAAAAATCAGTGTAGGAGTTTGTTCGTCTGTGACTTGAATGGCAACTGCATCTTTGTTTTGGGCCGTCGAATCCAAGCTGTAATAAGGAACTTCTTTTTCTTCTTACGACACCAATCAATTGACTTTGACAAGCCACCTATGTAATTTTAAGTAGTGGAGTGGAAGTCCCGGTCTGTGGCTGTCTGGAGTCCAGCGGAGAAAGCGCTGTGGCTTCGCTCTGCCTGCCACATGGAGAAGTGCGGTAACCAGCGCAGCTGACCCAGATTGTATGTGCAGTGCCCTTGAATAGTGATTCCCTCTTTCTCCGCAGACTCAAGTTCAGCCCACATATTACGTCACCAAAAATTGCTGGAGACTGGGGGCGTGGAGGAGTCTCCTCCCTAGGATTTCCTCTCTGCGGCCTTAAATAGGGGTGGGGGGAGTGGGATCAGCAGGAGGTTGAATAGCTCTGAACAAGGAGAGACTGTGCAGGTTGAAGGAAGGGCACCATCTGGAAACAAACTATCCTAGTCCAGCGGGCAATTCTAAAACAAACATTTTAGTCTGCTGGCCAGAACTCTTCAAAGTTGAATACTGAAAAACACAGTACTCTACTTCACTTAGGAGCGGCTGCAGGCTGATGAGTTTGATTTTTGTTACAAAGAACAAGAGTTAGACTTGGTCAGGAAGCAGCCACCTAAAGAATGTAATGCTCTTTATAGCCTAGAAGTTTTAAACAGTTTACTGAGTTGCCATTTCAGATGATTTTAAACGTTTAAGAAACCTAATGTTGTAATATGTTTATCTTACTCTGTGATGTTTCTTAAGATAAATCTGCTCATATATATATATAGAATTACCAAAAATAAATGGAAATCTATGTATAAAATTCTTTCAGAAATTTAACTTTTTTCAAACCTAAACTCGGATGCCATGTAATGTCACTTCCTTTTTACAACATGGCACCTCTTGTCTGAATAAGGATATTCTTATAGTTGATATCTTGTGATTTAAATGCGAATATAACCCTGGCCTGAGTGGGGGGGGGAAGAGTTCTGACACACACACACACACACACACACACACACACACACACACACAGAGGCTGTGCTAAACTTGGACAGGTTACTTTTACCTACCTCTGGCCTAGTTCTGCTATGAAATTAGGGTGCTGGAGAGAGAATTACTAGTTGTTGAGCACTAACTATGCTATTATATTTCATTAAATCAGGAAATGTGATTAAGTAACTCAATAGCTGAGGAAGCACAATTTTAGCTACTTTAAGTGACTTGGCTTTCAGTACTTCAGCACTAAGTGGTAGACCGGGGGCTGAAAATCCAACTCCAGAGCATCGTGCCACACTCTGCTGCAGTGCCCAGCTGCTGCTTGCTGCCGCTCGGTGGTACCTTCGGGCTTCTGCTTTCTGTACACACCGCGTGCTTTCCTCTGCTGCTGCAGCTTGTACTTTTCTCCCTGGCACTCCTACCGTCAACTGTTGATCCACATCCTGATTTAAAGTCAGCTTAGTTTCTGCCTCTTTCACAGAGCTGTTTCTTTACATTCCTGTGACATGCTGAGGTATCTTAAGGGTTGCAAACTCAAGTGCCTCTGAAGACAAATGCTCACAACAAGAATGAAGCAGGGCCCTGGCCGGTATACCTCAGTTGGTTGGAGCATCGTCCCATACACCAAAAGATGGTCGGTGGGTGCGATTCCTAGTCAGGGCACATTATCCAGGTTGTAGGGTTGATCCCTAGTCAGGGAGCGTGTAGGAGGCAACAGTCCATGTTTCTCTCTCACATCAATGTTCCTCTTTTTCTCCCTTTCTCGCTCTAAAAATCTATTTAAAAAATAAGCCCTGGCCGGTTTGGCTCAGCGGTTAGAGCGTCTGCCTGCGGTCCAGAGAGACCCAGGTTCGGTTCCCGCTAAAGGCACGTACCTCGGTTGCAGTTTGTCCCCGGCCCTGGTTGGTCGTGCGGGTGGCAGCCACTCGATGTGTCCCTTTCACATCGATGTTTCCCTCTCTCTCTCTTCCTCTCTTTTCCTCCCACTCTGTCTGTACAAAAAATGGAAAAATGTCCTCAGATGAGGATAAAAAAAATAAAAATAAAAGAATGAAGCGGGTAATGTAATTGAAGTAAACCAGAAGATAACAGGAAAATGAGGGTTATGACAAACATGTTATTGTGGTTATGGGATCTGCACTCTTTTCTGCTGTACCTTGTTGTTGCCAAATCTCTTCATTTTTTATGAAAAGAAAGTCATCTAGATATTTCCTATGATAATTCCTGATTTTAGAAACATTGGGACAGATGGACTACTGACAGCTCCTAGTCTCTGATTTATATTATGTAGTACATTATGTGAATATGCAGTGACCATGTTTTATTCACCAGTACCTTCATCAGAGAAAGATATGAGTATCAGGTTCCTCCTGAGTTTTTCTACTTGAGCGGGTTGTGCTTTGAAACTTCAGCAATTGGTAATATCACTAACCCCAGCAGGAAATCGGAATGACAGGTGTTTAGGAGCAAGTGATGGTTCGTTTGTCATGGAAAATGGAAGTCAGGAGTTCAGTTCTATAGAGAGATTTGGGAAATTATCAGCAGTTAGGAGATAGTTGAAACTACAGAAGTAAAATAATCCAGAAAAAGAACACGTAGAGTGGGAAGACTGATGACAGACCCACGGAGAAACCAGCTTACAGGGGACGTGGGGAAAAACAAGAACAGAGAGATTGCAGGGAGCCAGGGAGGTTCTGGCCAGTCAAGGTCAAGGAGCGAAGGGAACCCTAAAAGAACTACAGACAGCAGCAGCAGGAGACCGAGAGAGACATTTAAAGATGTAATAATGAGGAGGTCATTTATGCCTTTGCCTGAATAAGTTTCCGCAGCAAGATAAATATTGGCTTCAGATTATATAGTAGGTTGAAGCCTCCCTGGGTAAAATTTCACCGCCAAGGGGATTCGTTTCTACAATATATTAAGAACTTAGAAACCAGTAAGAAAAACAACCCAGAGGAAAAACTGGACAAAAGACATTTCATAGAAATATAAATGCTTAGCCTCATTATTAATCAAGGAAACAAAAATTAAAACACAGTAAGGTATTTTATACTCAGAAGATTGGCAAAAATAAAAAAAACTGATAATATCAAGTGTTGGCACAAGTGCAGATCATTAGAAACTACTGTCAGTGGGAGTATGAGTTAGTAAGACTTTAGAAAACAGTGAGCCCTGGCCTGGAGGCTCACTTTGCTGGAGCGTCGTCTGGTACACTGAAAGGTTACAGGTTCCATTCCCGGGCAGGGCACATACCTAGGCTTTGGATTCAGTCCTCAGTCGGTGTGTACGGGAGGCAACCAATTGATGTTTCTCTGTCACATTGATGTTTCTTTCTCTCAAAAAAAAAAAAAAAAATCAATGAAGGAAAGAAAGGAATCTTACCATTTGTGGCAGCGTGGATAAGAGGCTATTATGCTAAGGGAAATAAGTCAGTCAGAGAAAGACAAATACCATATGATTTTACTTACACATGGAATCTAAACAGAATAAAACAAAAGTGACGGATACTCACAGACACAGACAAAGAGAACAGACTGGTGGTTGTCAGAGGGGAGGGGCTGAGTGAAAAGGATGAAGGAGTTAAGTGCGCATTGGTATTTACAGAATAGTCAGGATGTGAAGCACAGCACAGGGGATGTAGTCGGTACTGTAGTAACAGCTGTGTGGGGTGCCAGGTGGGTACTTGGAATATCAAGGGAACGCTTTGTAAGTGTGATCGTATAACTACTGTGCTGTACACTTTAAACTAGTGCAAAATAATGTTGACTGTCAACTGTAATTGAAAGATATTTTAAAAAACAACAATGTGCCACTATCTTGTAAATGTGAGCATTGATATACCATGTATATGATACATTAATACACGTATATGTGTATACTGTATGTGCGTCTCCTAGAGAAACCCTTGCACACGTGCACCAGGAGACATGTCCAAGTGTCTATAGCAACATGGAGGGAGGGGGGAAAGTAATGCAAAAATATGTCCCCCAAAACGAGTCCATTGTGAGGTAGGTAGTTCTCAGTTTAAGGACTTAGAGCTTCATTTAACAACAGGATTAAAGAAGCACCCTAGTCCGTGTTTCTCTCCGGGGTGTTTGTTGAAGGGAGAGAGCCAGGGCCCCGGCTCAGGAGGGGATCCGACTTGAAGGAAGGGTGCTTGGTTTCTGCTTTCCCACAGGAGAGCGGTGCCCCGCCGTGGGGAGGAGCCGGCGCGGGTGATTGGGGTGCAGGCCGCCTGCACGGTTTGCAAGTGAAATAGTTCCCGTTTGGAGGGGAGGGCCGGAGCCGGGCAAGGAGGTGGGCTTCGGGAGGAAACGCAGTGTCTGAGCCGGGCTGGGAGCCCCGCTGGTTACCGGAAGGAAAGGCGCGGTGGGAGCTCTCCCCGCGGAGCCTGCGTCCGCTCGCTGCGGGGTTTCCTTGGGCGCAGTAGGCAGCGCCCCGGCGGTGCGGGCCCAGCTGCTAAGGCGTGAACCGAGGGCGTGAGCGCTGAAGGCAGAGCCGTCACCCAGCGGTGCGCAGATGCTCCGAGTTTAAAGTAAATGCGCACGCGCCCTGGCTGGTTTGGCTCAGCGGTTCGTGGGCTCATGGTCCAGAGAGACCCGGGTCGGTTCCCGCCGAGGGCTCGTACCTCGGTTGCAGTTTGTCCCCGTTCCTGGTTGGTCGTGTGGTGGCAGCCGCTCGATGTGTCCCTTTCTCGTGGATGTCTCCCTCTCTCCCTCCCGCTCTGTCTGAAGATACACGAAGGCTGTCCTGGGGGAGGCGCGGGAATGCCCTGTGAGACCCAGCTGTCACTGCGGTCCGCGCACTGGACAGGCCTTTGATGCGGCGGAGCTCAGCGCCTTCATCTCCGAAGGGGGTGGACTAAACCATTCCTCAATCCTTTCTTGCAATCTCTGAGCAAACTGGGCCTTGACACCCACCCGGATGGAGGTACAGTTTAGCCGGCCAGAAGGTTCTAGAACGTTCCAGGCGGAAGTGGCGGAGGAAACCAGCGGCTCGGAAGGCCGCTCGCTCGCTCGTTTCCCCGGGACGCGAACAGGCAGCGCCGGAACCGTGGGGGTGTCTTAGACACGTGCCATGAGGTGTCCTGAGGTCAGTGGCCTGCGTTTCCCACCGATGGGCCAGCTGTCGTGAGCGCTGTGCTGCTGCAGAGGGGGTGAGGCGGACGGTCACTGGTTTGGAGTCACCGGAACTGACTCAGAAATCCAGCTGTCAGCCCTTGAAATGAGACCGTCGTCCTGGCCGGTGTGGCCCCGTGGACCGACTGCTGTCCCGTGGGCTGAGGTCCCGGTTCGATTCCGGGTTGATTCCGGGTCAGGGCACGTGCCCGGTTGTGGCTCGATCCCCAGTAAGGGGCGTGCGGGAGGCAGCCGGTCCAAGTTTCTCTCCAAAAAATCAATAAAAATGTGTACTTAAAAATAAATAAATTGGGTACTTCTATGAGAAAGAGACAGTTTCGCATGTCTTGACTTAAGACTCGGGTGCGCTTCTGAACTGGACGCAAGGGGTACGGAGCGAATGTCAGCAGCCGCCCGGGCGGGCCGGCGACCTGACCCCCGCGAGCGGCTTGGAGCAGGGCCGGAGGCCGGAGGAGACGCGAGCACTGGAGCGGCGGTCTGCTCCGCACAGCCGGCCAGCAGAGCCGGCCGAAGGGGCTTCTCCCGGCGGTCTGCTCCCGCACAGCCGGCCAGCAGAGCCGGCCGAAGGGGCTTCTCCCGGCGGTCTGCTCCCGCACAGCCGGCCGAGCAGAGCCGGCCGAAGGGGCTTCTCCCGGCGGTCTGCTCCCGCACAGCCGGCCGAGCAGAGCCGGCCGAAGGGGCTTCTCCCGGCGGTCTGCTCCCGCACAGCCGGCCGAGCAGAGCCGGCCGAAGGGGCCTCTCCCGGCGGTCTGCTCCCGCACAGCCGGCCGAGCAGAGCCGGCCGAAGGGGCTTCTCCCGGCGGTCTGCTCCCGCACAGCCGGCCGAGCAGAGCCGGCCGAAGGGGCTTCTCCCGGCGGTCTGCTCCCGCACAGCCGGCCAGCAGAGCCGGCCGAAGGGGCCTCTCCCGGCGGTCTGCTCCCGCACAGCCGGCCAGCAGAGCCGGCCGAAGGGGCCTCTCCCGGCGGTCTGCTCCCGCACAGCCGGCCGAGCAGAGCGGCCGAAGGGGCTTCTCCCGGCGGTCTGCTCCCGCACAGCCGGCCGAGCGAGAGCGGCCGAAGGGGCCTCTCCCGGCGGTCTGCTCCCGCACAGCGGCCGAGCAGAGCCGGCCGAAGGGGCTTCTCCCGGCGGTCTGCTCCGCACAGCCGGCCGAGCAGAGCCGGCCGAAGGGGCTTCTCCCGGCGGTCTGCTCCCGCACAGCCGGCCGAGCAGAGCCGGCCGAAGGGGCTTCTCCCGGCGGTCTGCTCCGCACAGCCGGCCAGCAGAGCCGGCCGAAGGGGCTTCTCCCGGCGGTCTGCTCCCGCACAGCCGGCCGAGCAGAGCCGGCCGAAGGGGCCTCTCCCGGCGGTCTGCTCCGCACAGCCGGCCCAGCACAGCCGGCCGAAGGGGCTTCTCCCGGCGGTCTGCTCCCGCACAGCCGGCCCAGCACAGCCGGCCGAAGGGGCTTCTCCCGGCGGTCTGCTCTTGCACAGCCGGCCTAGCACAGCCGGCCGAAGGGGCTTCTCCCGGCGGTCTGCTCCCGCACAGCCGGCCGAGCAGAGCCGGCCGAAGGGGCTTCTCCCGGCGGTCTGCTCCCGCACAGCCGGCCCAGCACAGCCGGCCGAAGGGGCTTCTCCCGGCGGTCTGCTCCCGCACAGCCGGCCAGCAGAGCCAGCCGAAGGGGCTTCTCCCGTTCGGGCCCAGGGCGCAGGGCTTCTCTCGCCCCGGACCGGACCTCACCTGGTCTCAGTGGCGTGTGGCCGAGCGCCAGAGAGGCTGCTGATTCCGACCAGTCAGGGCGCGTCCGAAGTCCGGTCAGTGTCTGTCTCTCCCTCTCCCCAGCTCCTCTCTCTAAGCATGTCCTTGGGTGAGGATTAAACAGACAGAACCGTACTTGGAGACAGCATCAGGAGAGGACGTGTACAGGAAAGCACGTTGGTGGTTACCTGTGTGCCCCAGCAGCAGAGCCGGCGGCCACGCTGTTAGCAGCCGGGTGTGCGTACTGACGTCCACCCTCACGGAGTCCCACTCTTCCAGCAGGAAAGCAGCATTTCTCTCCTTTCCTTCCAGGAATCTACTTGTCCGATTTAACGTACATTGATTCAGCGTACCCGTCAACTGGCAGCATTCTAGAAAGTGAGCAAAGATCAAACTTGATGAATAACATCCTCCGAATAATTTCTGATTTACAGCAGTCCTGTGAGTATGGTAAGTTTCGGGGGGCGGTGCGAAGCCATCATCATGTTGTGATGCTGCTGATTCTAAGGCCACTTTTCACAGCAAGAAACAACCTGAAGGAAACCAGTGATTGTTTTATTTCACTGTTTAACTTTTAGCATCCTGTTTAAGATCTTGTTTGTAAGGAATTAAAGTGTTTCATAGTTAAATTTTTAAGTTTTATCTCTTTCTTTTGCTATTTTGTAACAACTTTGCTAACATAATTTACAAGATTATTTTCAATTATATTCATCCCAGTTGTTCTCCCTAATCTATTATGGAAATAGTTCTTACATTTTCCAGTTAGGGAAGGAGCTAAGAACCTTGATGCTACTAACAACTAACTAGCTTTCTTGAGTCTGATATTGAGTAAAAAACCAATTTTTTTCCAAGATGTGTTTTGCAGAAACACGCATATAGAAACCAATTATACAAGCTCAGATGATTAGAAAAGGTGTTTTGTTTTGTTTTGTTTTTTTAATGTTCTAAAAATATTTGGGTGCTTTCATTTTGATAGTGAATAAATATAGGCCACTGATATATAAAAATATGATATTATGAAACAGTGAGTTTACACCATGATTAATATAAATTTTAAAGCTATCTTATGTGCATCTATACTTTTAAGAAAACCTCAAAAACTTCCTAAAAGTTGGGGTTGGGGGTGAATCTCACCAAAAGTTAAATCAGAGAATCTCTTATTTTGTCCTTTTCTAATTTTTTAAAAAAACATAACACTAAATTATAATGTTAAATTAATGTTGTTTGAAATTTCTAAGTAGGGAAGGAAAAACTACATTTACAAATGGGTGTCAGGCTTCTTTAAAAGAAAACAAAACTGCCTTACATCTTGCCTTGAGGTGCGATTTCAATATAAAGCACAATGAAGTCTCTGATTTTTTTTTCTGTGAAATTTCTCAAGTATACTGGACTTTATAAATGGGGCTGTTTGGGGTTGTTTTGTTTTATCTATGCAAAGAACTTTCAGTCTTATATTAAATAAAAATTTTCCTTGGTAATATCCTTCTAGAATTAATTTGAATGTGGTACCATGTGGCCTAATTCACCTTTAAATATCATTTTCTGAGCTTAACTTTTAAAATTCTGGTTGAGATGTACTTTATCAGATAATTATTTATCACATTTTGCCTAGATATCCCCATGTTGCCTCACGTCCAAAAATATCTGAACTCTGTTCAGTATATAGAAGAACTACAAAAGTTTGTGGAAGATGATAATTACAAGTAGGTTGGATCTTCAAAAGTGGTTTGTATAACTGTGCTTTTCCCCTCTCATCCTGATGTAGTTAAAAATCTGTCTTACATCATATCATGCAAATTCCTCATCCAGTCATACATTTGCAATGGTAAATCTCTTTTTAATCACTTGACATGATTGAGTCAGTGTACAAATATCTCATCTGTTCTTTTATTAAAAAGGATTTTATCTTTCTTACATTGTTAAAAGTTATGTTTGCTTGTTCTAGTTTAAATGTCTTCCTTTCTATATTCAAGCACTGGATCTTATGGAAATTTGTCTTTTAGTAGACTGGAAAATTAATGAAACAGTCTACGGGTAGAAAAGTTACTCCTTTTTTAATGATGATTTTTGACACATCTTTGAACTTGTTTGGAATTGCTTTGTGGTTTGAGAGAATATTGAACGTTCTTGCCTTTGGGTTAGAGACACATTTGTTTAATATATAATCATACTTACCCTTTTCTTTATTGGAACAAGTCTAAAAATTCTGAAAACACCTAGAAATAACTTTTTTTCAAATATTAAATATGTTAAGAAGCTCTGTATATATCCTTAAATGTATCTAAAGTTTTATTAATGTTTGAAAACACCTTTAGTGCCATTTCCTTCCCCGCACCATAGTTAGCACTCTGTATATCTATATCAATTTTTATTTCACACACAGTTTTTGCATGGTAATTCATTTAAAAATATATGCAATCTGGATTTTCTTTTTAAGGGTAGAGTTTTCACAAACCTGTTGCTGCCCTAGGTTGTAAGCCTCTTGAGTTTGTCCATTGAGGTACAGAAAATTATCTTAAAACTCAAAATATGAATAAGTAGCTATTAAAATTTTTTATATCTGACCCAAGAAACTTACTAGATTTAAAAGAAGTTAAAGTTTATTCACCAGAAGTGAAGTCTAAGAAATAATTGCAGAGTTGTAGAAGATGGTTAATTTTATTGGCTATAGTAAAAGTATTGAAGCTACTTTTTACTTTACTGAAAGAATAGTATCCACCACTTAAGCCATTGAGTAGTTTTAACTGTATAAACTGACATTGTAAGAGACCCTCACTTTTATAGGAAAGCCGATGCTGTAACACTGATTTTTATTGTTGTGAGTAGCTAGAACCAGAGCAGCCTTCCCATTATTTGCATTTAGCAAATACTTCTTAAACTTTTGTTATAGGGAAGTTATTGTGCTACTTGCTGGCATTACAAAAATAAGATCTTGTTCTTGCCCTTAAAAAGCTCAACCTAATGCAAGACACATCCATAAAACCTGATTACAAAACAGTTCAAACAGGACTATAATAGGATCTATGGGAACATAGATAAGGGAGGACCTGACTCAGCTGAAGTGGGAAACAGGAAAAGGAACCTGAACAGCTTTAGGAGACAGTGTCACCTGAGGCTGAATCGGAGGAAGGAAAGGTGTTGCAGGAGAGGGAACGACCCAGAGGAACTGGTGGGAAACGGGTTTGCTGAGAGACTGGAGAAGATAGTTTGTTTTTCTAGAGCTGCATTTGTGCAGCGTGAACCTACTACTTAAATGTGTTGAAAATCAGAACCTTTTAAGATCGGAGCCATTAAAGTGATTAGTTAAGGAAAAATTGTATTGTATGATGAAAGAGTTAAATAAAAATGATACTTCATTTATCCAAAAGCCTGTTTTTGACAACTCCATCTATATCAGTAGCCAGTGTAGATATTATAAATTACATGTGATTTTAATCAGGATGAATTCTTTTGAAGGTCTTTCATTTCAATACTGAACATATCTTTTTCACTGACTCGGCATCACTGTTACCGCATAGGCGCTGACACCCCAGCCAGCCCTCGCTGCTGTGCCCTTTCCGATGCTCCTGCCCCCCGCACTGCTGTCAGCGATCTGCGGCTGCTGGTAGCCCTGGGGGTCACCCAGAGCTTCCTTTCTGTTTCTTCTATTTGGGTTCTGCATCCAGAAATTGTAGTTATTTTGTTTACCTCTTTGTCTTCCACCTAGTAGACTATAAGCTTCAGGAGGGCAGGGACACCATGTCTGCCTTAGTCTCGTACATTCCATGAGACCACAGTGCCCAATACAAAGCAGGTGTTGAATAACTATTAAATGAGGGAGTTCAGTATAGTCTGCAGCCCAAATGATTAAACTGCTCTGTAAAAAGAAAAAGCAGAGAGTTCTGGTTAATCATCTTCAACACATGCATTTTATACTGTCCAAAATGGAATATAATTGTGCATAATGCCCTCTTAGGTTACCAAAAAATAATAAGTTAAGAACCTATAATAGATTTATTTTTATGAACGTCACTTGTATGCAGTTTCATAGAAAATTCCAGTTGACAGAATGCTAAAAATAAAAATTTCAGACAAATGCTTAATAATAATAGGCTTTGTGAGCTACACCACAGTATTCTCCACAACGGCTTTAGTATCATATTTCCTGAAATAGTTTCCACTGATAAGAATCATAATCTCTTTTCGCTGTGGAACTCAAACCTGGGTATATGATCCTAAATGGAACTTTAGTGCAGGGATTTAGAGCAGGGATTTATGGGGAGTTTGCAAGCAACCTTTTTCATTTGTGTGGGTCTGTCTTTTGATAAGTTGAGTTGGATGGTGGGTTTTAAATAAGGTATTTTGAAAATTTTCAAAGCCATTAGCCCATCCAGTAAAGATTCTAGAAAGAATTTGCATAATATATTTATTTTTTTTTTATTTTTTATTTTTTTTATCCTCACCCGAGGACATTTTTCCATTTTTTGGTCAGATAGAGTGGGAGGGAGAGAGAGAAAGAGAGAGAGAGAGAAACATCGATGTGAAGGGACACATCGAGTGGCTGCCACCCGCACGACCAACCAGGGCCGGGGACAAACTGCAACCGAGGTACGTGCCCTTAGCGGGAACTGAACCCGGGTCTCTCAGGACCACAGGCTGACGCTCTAACCGCTGAGCCAAACCGGCCAGGGCTGCATAATATATTTAATAATGTGTGTGAAAGTTCCTGAATTGCCAGGTATCAATATAAGTTCCAGTTATATCACCTTTTAGTGATTCATCAAATATCTTTAAAAGTGTTGAATTGTTTGGCAGTGTTGGGGTAGTTGGGGGATTTTTCTATTTTAAATTATGACTTTTTAATGGTTTTTTCCCCTTCCTAATATTTCCTAGAATAACCATAAGACCAGCTTTGTGTGGAAGAGAGAGGAGACTTAACTATTAAAGTTTGCTCTTGCAGAAAAATACATAGCTGAGATTCTTTCCTAAAAACATTTCTAGTTTTTTCATAAGAAAATACATGATTTTAATATTATTTTGTCAAATGCTAGTCATTTTATGTGTTTTGTTTCTTTTTAAAATTCAGGCTTTCATTAAAGATAGAACCAGGGACAAGCACACCGCGCTCTGCTGCTTCCAGGGAAGACTTAGTAGGTTAGTGCACGCTTCTCTTCGTTACCGTAGTGACTCAGGTGGCCTGGAGGAGGGCTGTGCTCCGAACGCCACGTACTTAGCACATTTTAGGCTGTACACAAAAATTTATTTTTAGTATTAAAATAAGATGTTTTTCTACTTGGATTTTTTTTCTTTTTAATCAAAACATTGTTAGTTGTCATTTGTCAGTAATGTACAAACAAATATTCTGACTAATCAAGGAAAATAGATACCATGGACAGAAAAATGACATATAAGTGTTTATAAATGCCTGTGTGGTTTTTTAAATTATTATTAAGAATACACTGTCCTAGGCAATGAGTGTTGATTACATTTCTGCGGTCAAGGGGAAATTTTGTACTAATTTGAATTATAGAAGTCAACTTTACTGAGTTGATTTTTTAAAAATTTACTTTAATACTGGGTCAAGTACTGAGAATATTAAAAAATAATCATAGTTCCTTAATTTACTTGTTGCATTATAATGAGGATATTCCATATATACCACACATATTCAAAAATATAAAATTGAAGAGAATTTCTCATTATTTAAGAAATCATTGATAAGTACCTTTTTTAAAATGTCAAACTTCGACCTTGGTAGTAAGTTTCATATTACTGTATGTCCTAAAATGTACTTGAAGAGCCATGTGATGATGTGTAAAGGGGGCGAGGGGGCGAGCCCTGACGCGTATCCAGGGGGAAGCGTGTTCCAAGCAAAGGAAAACACTCAGTCTGAATCTCTTAAATTTGCTTTTCTTACAGTGATATTTTGCAAATCTGTGTACTTTTGAGTTCTTTTTTATTTTTTTCCCCATAAGCTTGAACAGTGTCAATGTAGATTTAAATTCCCACCTGAACATTTGACCTGCCCGACACATCCCTTATCTAGTAGCTGTGAGTAGCTGAAGAAGCCTCTGTGGAGCTGGACAGCGAGCAGTGAGCCAGGGCCCGGCCTGAGTGCTCAGCCTGGCACCGAGCAGTGAGCCAGGGCCCGGCCTGAGTGCTCAGCCTGGCACCGAGCAGTGAGCCAGGGCCCGGCCTGAGGGCTCAGCCTGGCACCGAGCAGTGGGCTAGAGCCCGGCGTGAGTGCTCAGCCTGGCACCAAGCAGTGGGCTAGGGCCCGGCGTGAGTGCTCAGCCTGGCACCGAGCAGTGAGCCAGGGCCCGGCGTAAGGGCTCAGCCTGGCACCGAGCAGTGGGCTAGGCCCCAAGCAGTGAGCCAGGGCCCGGCCTGAGTGCTCAGCCTGGCACCGAGCAGTGAGCCAGGGCCCGGCGTGAGGGCTCAGCCTGGCACTGAGCAGTGAGCCAGGGCCCGGCGTAAGGGCTCAGCCTGGCACCGAGCAGTGGGCTAGGCCCCAAGCAGTGAGCCAGGGCCCGGCCTGAGTGCTCAGCCTGGCACCGAGCAGTGAGCCAGGGCCCGGCGTGAGGGCTCAGCCTGGCACCAAGCAGTGGGCTAGGGCCCAGCCTGAGGGCTCAGCCTGGCACCGAGCAGTGGGCTAGGGCCCGGCCTGAGTGCTCAGCCTGGCACCGAGCAGTGAGCCAGGGCCCGGCCTGAGTGTTCAGCCTGGCACCGAGCAGTGAGCCAGGGCCCGGCCTGAGTGCTCAGCCTGGCACCGAGCAGTGAGCCAGGGCCCGGCCTGAGGGCTCAGCCTGGCACCGAGCAGTGGGCTAGGGCCCGGCGTGAGTGCTCAGCCTGGCACCAAGCAGTGGGCTAGGGCCCGGCGTGAGTGCTCAGCCTGGCACCGAGCAGTGAGCCAGGGCCCGGCGTAAGGGCTCAGCCTGGCACCGAGCAGTGGGCTAGGCCCCAAGCAGTGAGCCAGGGCCCGGCCTGAGTGCTCAGCCTGGCACCGAGCAGTGAGCCAGGGCCCGGCGTGAGGGCTCAGCCTGGCACCAAGCAGTGGGCTAGGGCCCAGCCTGAGGGCTCAGCCTGGCACCGAGCAGTGGGCTAGGGCCCGGCCTGAGGGCTCAGCCTGGCACCGAGCAGTGGGCTAGGGCCCGGCCTGAGTGCTCAGCCTGGCACCGAGCAGTGGGCTAGGCCCCAAGCAGTGAGCCAGGGCCTGGCCTGAGGGCTCAGTCTGGCACCGAGCAGTGGGCTAGGGCCCAGGGTGAGTGCTCAGCCTGACACCGAGCAGTGGGCTAGGCCCCAAGTAGTGAGCCAGGGCCCGGCCTGAGTGCTCAGCCTGGCACCGAGCAGTGGGCTAGGGCCCGACCTAAGGGCTCAGCCTGGCACCGAGCAGTGGGCTAGGGCCCGGCATGAGCCCTGGCCCAGCCCTTCAGCCCTGCTCTTCCGTCCCTGGAGGTGTTTGTACTGCCCCTAGTGGCGGGGCGGCGAAAGTCCGTGGTGTGTGTGCTCTGGGAGTTGGTTTTAAGACTTAGCAACAAACTCTTTCCTCGAGTTCCGTCAATTAAGTGCAGTTAATGTATCTTAAAATTTAAACCATATTTTATGTTTTATATGAAGGAACTAAAAATAGAACAAAATTTAAACCATATTTTATGTTTTATATGAAGGAACTAAAAATAGAAGAATCTTTTGAAAACATCTGAAAATACCTCTCCCCTCTCTCTCTAAATTGGCCCCTTAGGTCCTGAGGTGGGATCTCCACAGAGTGGAAGAAGGAGCGTGGCGGCCGAAGGGGCCCTGCTGCCACAGACACTGCCGTCCCCGCGGAGCCTGATCCCACATGGCCACAGGAAGTGCCACAGCTTGGGTTACAAGTCAGCGTCGTTCGTTTTCTCTTTCCTGTTTCTAAGTCGTTTACCGTTGGATTTGCTTGCTATTTATTTTATTAAACAGAAACTAATGTCCTTGCACAGTTTTTTGTATATAATAGTATTTTTCTGTTTCAGTAAAATATCTCGTTTGCCTAAAAGCATTTATTTCTTCCTTTACCTTAATTTGGAAATTTTCCCAACAGTGACTTCACATTTGAGGAGGCAAATGAACATCACAGAGCATCATCATGAATAAAGTCAGGAAAGCAATATACCATTTTATTTTTAAATATTAACCTTTTTTTTTTTGTATCAAGACAGTTACTGCTTGTCTTAACTAAACAAGTCACCATAAATTAAGGTTTATAAAAAGTGTTCTTTTTATTCCTAAATATAAAGAATGTGAAATGATTTCATGTTTAATTTTTTTTTTTTTTATCCTCACCCGAGTACATTTTTTTTCCATTTTTTATTCAGATAGAGTGGGAGGGAGGGAGAGAAAGAGAAACATTGACTTGAAAGGGACACATCGAGTGGCTGCCACCCACACGACCCAACTAGGGCCGGGGACAAACTGCAACCAAGGTACGTGCTTTTAGCAGGAACTGAACCCAGGTCTCTCTGGACCGCAGGCCGGCGTTCTAACCGCTGAGCCAAACCGGCCAGGGCTCATGTTTATTTTCTTGAGCTTTGCAAGATTGTTTTCTCATAATGGGGCCTTTAGCTCACCTTTGCCATGGTTTTGTGAAAATTTAATAGCTATTTTCATTTTCCAAAAGTAAATGTGGGAACAATTTTTTAATGGACCAGAGACTTAAAGCATTCTCTGTTACATAGGTAGATATGGCCTGGTTTCCTAAAATAATGTCTCTTAAACTGTTAGTTCGAGGACTTCAGAGCAAAATCTGTGTTCATCAGTATGAGAGTTCACAAGTTCAGGATAGCAAGCAAGTCTTTTCTGTCCTGGATCTTTGTGTAATAGTATCTTCTGTATCCTGAATTAGTAACAGTAACGAGATATTTTTCTTTGTTTCCAGTTTCATTCATAAAATGAACACAGCAGAGTTTAAGAGCGCAACGTTCCCAAATGCAGGGCCAAGGCATCTATTAGACGACAGCGTCATGGAGCCCCACGCACCATCTCGAGGCCAAGCTGAAAGTTCTACTCTTTCTAGTGGAATATCAATAGGTGAGAAATATTTCTCTGTGAGGGCTCCAACTTATCTGAAATGTGGTTTTTAACAAAACTCAGCTGGAAAAACATCATTAACCCTACTACAGATACAGAAAAATTGACAAAAGCAAAGTATCAATTAGACATAGGATCATCTTCTTGTTAGTACTGAAGTGAGTGATTGGTGACGGTTTAAAAAGTGCTTGGTGCTTTTGACTCAAAGGGAACACCTTTGAGGAGTGCAGGAAAAGCACAGGGCTGGCTGCAGTGGTTCGTGTAGGCAGCTTGGATGTGAGCAGGGCACGGCCATGTGTGACTCCCAGTGTTTTTGGACCAAGAAGTGAGATTAGATGATGGCGCTAGATTAGATAGGGAAGACTGGAAGAGCAGTCATGTGTAGGTGCTGAGGTGTGTGTGAAGGGTGACGGGGTTTGGGGAGTTAAGAACTCTGTTCTGGACATGTTTGGTCCACATGGCGTTGCCAGGCAGGTAACTGAATGGATCTGGAGCTCGGTGGGGTAAGGTCAGTCTGTACTTCCAAATGTAGGACGGAGCAGCATATTTTAGTATTTCAAGTCGTGGGTCTGTTTGAGGTCACCTAGGAAGAGAGTGTAAATAAATGAGAGAGGACATTCCAATATTTAGAGGTCTGGTTAAATTTTTTTTAAAGGATGGGCCATCAAAGATAACTGAAGGATCGGTGAAGTAGGGGGAAAACGGGTGGGATCACAGAAGCCCAGTAGAGGCACATGTCTGCAGAGGAGGGAGGTATAGAGTGTGTCAGTTATCGAATGCTAAGAAAGAGCAGGTGAGATTGTGAATGGATTGGTGGGTTTGACAAGAGTTGCTTCGGAGGATAGTGGGGACAAAGATGGCTCATGTCGGGGAGCAGGGAAGGAGATAGGCATCTGCCACAGGAATTTGTTTTTCACTTCCTGAACTTTATGTTTCTGAATCTTCTAGGTGACCATTATTATTTCTTTTGATAATTAGAAAACCTCCACACAATGCTATTTTTATTTATTTATTTATTCTTAAATAAAGGAGGAAAGTGTCCTCCAGCCAGGTCACTCAAGGGCCGAGCCCGTCATTGTTACTAGATCATCTCAGTATCGGACAGTCAGGAGAAGGAACTGCAGAAGAAGTTCGTTTTTCTTTTTTTTTAATCATCCTCACCAGAGGACATTTTTCCATCCCTTGCTCAGGTAAAGTGGGAGGGGAGAGAGAGAAACATCGATGTGAAAGGGACACATCGAGTGGTCGCCACCCGCACAACCAACCAGGGCCGGGGACAAACTGCAACCAAGGTACATGCCCTTAGCGGGAACCGAACCCGGGTCTCTCCGGACCGCAGGTCGACGCTCTAACTGCTGAGCCAAACTGGCCAGGGCAGGAGTTCGTTTTCTTAAACATGACTTCCTTAACGCTGAAGAGTTCCAAACCCAGGGAATGAAACTACTTTAGAGCTTTCCAACACCAGTCAGCAGTTTTTGATTCTAGCGATCTCCTTATATATGCAAAGGTAAATGACAACGAAATTTACAAAAGAGAAGACAAGTTGGCCACCTGAAATGCATCTCTTTACTCATGCTGTAAATTGCCTGTATGCAGATGTCGATCTCAATCTGAAAAACAACACACAGAATACTTTTGCAAAATAGAAAGAAAGGACTTTTTCAGTTAAAAAAGTTGTTACACACAGAATTCTGTGTGCCACTTAAAGCAAAAAATAATTTCTTAAATTAAAGCTCTCAATTAAGTATACATATATTTGGCTTTCCCCAGCATAAATAAATTGTAATTATTATTCTATAATTTAGTTGTGTCTTCTACTTTCCACAGATGTTCTTTTGGTTACAAGATAGTGATCTAGTTAGTCATTCTGTTACAGCTAATGTCTCAGTTTGGAGACCTTTCTCTTTGAACAGGGAGAGACTAATTTAATTTTGCCTTTGTGTTTATTTTTTAATTATTCTATGACTTTTAAGTAGATAAACAGTGCAGATCATTGCATCCTTGTTTGTAAATTAAGAACATTAGATATAGGCATTACCTCCTACGGTTGTGTCTTAAAGCTTTCACACTCTGAAAAGAAAGTAAGTCTATAACCATAGATGGTAGGTGTTAATACACACACACACACACACACACACACACACACATTTCATAATCACAAAAAGGTGTTTTCATTGGTTGTAACTTTTACATACTACATTGATCTCTACCATAGAGGCTTGAGAAACTACTCTAGAGAAATTAGCCAATGCTTGGAACAATGGCCTCTAACATTTTCTGATGTGGTAGGTGTCCCAGATAACCTAAAGTAGTCTTGCTTATTGAGGGGAGGCGTATCCACTGTGAGCTTCATGCTTCTGAAGAAGCTTACATTCTCTACAAATAAGTCATACTAATTATGCTTTAATTTTCCCTCTTTATCACATAAATACAAATCAAAAGATCATCTATGAGACCCACCAGATTGCCTCCAGTTTCTCATCACACAACCAAACTGTTTCAGTGGCTGTTTATTCAGTTCTTACAAGGATGATAGCTAGTGCCATTCTAAATACTTAGAAAAGGTGTTCATCCATCACATATAATGGATACCTTGTAGAACTAGCATTTGAATCTGTCACAGAACACTAGTTGTGAGAGTCTGATAGACAGTTCAGCTTGATATACATAAGGGACCCATCAATCATTACTTTTATGAAGAGCCAGAGTTATCTTTAATATCAATCTAAGCTGTTTGGGATTCTCCAAATTCATTCCCCTTCGTTGTTTTTTGTTTTTTTAAGCTAACTTAAAACTCTTTATTTTAACTTATATTCTGACCAGAGAGATCCTAAAAAGGCAAATACTGAATTTCATTAAGCCATTTATCCTTAGGGTAAGTAATGGGTTTTAAAAGGATTACAAAAGGAAAGGGCCCGGCTGGTGTGGTTCAGTGGTTGGGCATAGACCCATGCACCAAGAGGTTGCCGGTTTAATTCCCAGTTAGGGCACATGCCCAGGTTGTGGGCCCGATCCCCAGTGGGGGCATGCAGGAGGCGGCTAGTCGATGTTCTCTCTCATCGATGTTTCTATCTCTCTCTCCTTTCTCTCTCTCTAAAAAAATCAATTCAGAAAAAAAATTATTTTTTTAAAGGAAAAGAGTGCCATGAACCACTGAGAATTTCATAATTATATTTGTCTTAAATTATGACAAACCTAACAAGGAGAAATTTTGTGCTTATGTGCGTTCTCTGGTGATATAAACGTTATTTATTAACAATGAATTTGAACTATAAATGGACATGCACAAATGTTTTATGTTAATTTATTATTTTCTTGTTGACTATATTTTGATATATTGTAAATTAAATTGAGCAGCAATATTAGAATAAAGAGTTAATATGTGGCTGTTCACCCATAAATAACATGATTCCCATTTTACAAGCACAGTTAGAGAAACTATTTTTACAATTAAAAACTCAAACTGTAATTCTGATATTTAAAAAAAATAGAATAACTTGTGATTTTAGGTAGCAGTGATGGTTCTGAACTAAGTGAAGAGACCTCATGGCCTGCTTTTGAAAGGTAAGAAAAATCATCCATTTGAACTACTTTGTGTTTTTGCCTTGTTTTTTTGTCTGTCTGAAAGTATATGAATAATATAATTCACATATGACAGTATGAATTTTAAGAGATAATATTTATTACATATCTGCAAGGGACTATTTGAGCTCCCTGCTGGTGGCAGAAATTAGAAGGTGATATTTAAGTATTGAATTGAGTCTTACCTAATAAATACATGTTTATTTGGTGGCTTGATACATGTATATGAATTTTAATATATTTAAAATAATAAACAATCATGGTCAGATTATCTACTTATGTGTTGAAAAGTAAAATTATTTTCTTTAATTCTGGTTGATTTAAGTAATTTAAGGCATTTAGTAGGATGGTCAGCTTCCTTCTCAAAGTTTGCACAGGGCACACAGATTTATGCTGAAATACTGTACCATGCTTTCCTCTCCTGTCCTTTGGCTTTAAGCTGTAAAAGCTGTCCTCAGCCTACAGCAAATGTCATGTTATATTGATCTTTCAAAATAAGACGACCTTAAAAATGTTGCCAGTGCAAATACTTGTCATTTACTGAATGTTCATTAGGGCTTTCATACTGTCTTTGATCATTTCAGTTCTGCCATTTTTATACTTATAAGATACTTGACTGTTGACCAAAATAATTGCTCTTTTTTGTATATACTAAGCAACCTAAGTTTCTGAGCAAGAGTGTCCTTTAGATTGAATTTGGAATGTCATATTAAAATTGATGGAACTGAAATATTTAGTTACCTAACTTCATATCGGTGACTTTTAATAGAAAACAATTACACTAAATATATACTTTAAATGAAACTATATTTGAATTTTTTGTTTAATTGGAAAATTATGTCCTCGTTCTTGATGACACTTTTAAAGAATTCTCACCAGTATGTGATTAAGATTTTACTTGGAAACCCAATATTTTAAAGTGATTTTAAGCTTTTCTGTACTATCAGTGTTCCTACATTTTGTTCTCCTTGTTTTGGGGGGAACAACTTAATAGTTTATTTTTGCATAGTATTTTACATGGTATCTTTCAACTTTTACTTTCAGTCTCTTTATTTGGGTTTGCCTGGAAGGGGACAACACAAGAACTGCCTCCAAGCAGATGCTGTCAATTCAAATTGTCTTGTTCTCTCCCTCTAGAACGAGCATAATGCCATCATGTTGATTATAGAGGGTGTTGTCATCTTTGTTTTTTGTTTTTTCATTTTTTGTTCAGAGACAGCGGGAGGGAGAGAGAGGAAAAGAGAGAGAGAAACATCAACGTGAAAGGGACACATCGAGTGGCTGCCACCTGCACAACCCAACCAGGGCCGGGGACAAACTGCAACCGAGGTACATGCCCTTAGCGGGAACCGAACCCAGGTCTGTCTGGACCGCAGGCCGATGCTCTAACTGCTCTAACCGCTGAGCCAAACCAGCCAGGGCGTAATCTTTAGATAAAAATATCCACAAACAAAATTGTTTCTCAGATTACTTGAGATACAAATGAGAAACCAGAGTGGAGTGGATAACCTGTTCTCATCCCAGCAGGTTCTTTTCAAAGACAATGTTCAACAGTGTTACCTTTACATCGCAAAACAGTACTTTTTTTTTTTGACAAATGTTTTGCTTTGTAGACATTTGCAGCTAAAAAAGTCTACTGTGCTTGTGCCAAGTTTAAATCAGTGGCTCTTGAAACACTGAGAGCAAATTAATGCTGCCCAGCAGAATGCAGGTGTGAAATGACAACAAGTGAATAAAGAGCTAGGATTTAAAATATTACCTTAGATAATGAACTTGAAAGCAGTACTCTGAATGTTCAACATGCCATTTTCTGTTCCTACTTCCTAGAGAGACCTCAAATATGTTGCTGCTTCAGTTGCTAAAATAATGCTTTTTGTTGCAAATATCATTTGTCAACATGCTACTTTCGGCTTTTCCCGGGCAAAGAAGTATCAGTGTCTATGTGTGTGTTTATTTTCTTTTGTTAAGTATTGCATGCCATTTTGGATAAATATTAACTCATTTTATTTTTATCACTTATTGGCTTTATCATTTATTTCAGTTGATATGGAAATAAAATAAAGACTTTACTTTTTACTCAGTTTATCTCTTTTTTGTTTTCTTGGACTTACTAAAAAGAATAGGGAGGAAAATAAAGTGTTTTGGCAACATTCATTTTAAGTTTACAGGCCACATTGCTTTTAGGTGTCTTCATAGGGACATATAATAAAAAATGAATTATTTCTATGAATCTAGGTGTCATATTTAAACTGACATCCAAGAACGGAGATAGAAACAAAACGATTTTTGAAGTATTTTTCAGGTTTTGATAGTATCCGGTTATAAACTGTTCTTTAAATATTTTAACAGATTTGTGAAAGACAATATATATCTATAAATGTATGATGTATACTAAGCAGCTATAACTATTTTTAGCATCAATAGTAAAAGAAACAAGTTTTGAAGTCTATGCTGCATGCTTTTAAAAAGGAACAGAAACAATCACATATTAACCTTTTGTGAGATTTAGAAAACTTTATTACACGAAGAACTTATTATACTGTTCTAGGTACTGATGATGTTTGTGTGAATTAAAGTATATGTAATATATACAATTTATAATGGAATCCAACAGGAACAGATTGTACCATTCTCTCGGCCCGATGACACGAATGGCACGAAATGGCCATCGAAGCCACATGAAGGCCAGCAGGTACAAGTCCCCTGCATTCAGGGGTCACAGAACTCCCCTCTGGTGTTGGTGATTGGCTTACACGGGTGTGGTCTCACATCATTTCTGTTCTTTCTCCACTAATTGGTTTAAAGACTGAAAAAACTGCCTCGGAAACTTTCCAAGATTTAATCTGGAGACTAATTTGAACTATTCTTTCTGATCCACAGAGCTAATTGCTAAAGCTTGCATCTTTATGTCACATTTTAAAATTAATTCCAAGTTGATGGCTTTTGAACTGCACAGGTCTTTCTAATGCTGCTAGTTACTGGATGAGCAATACAAAAACCCACTCATAGCCATAATCAAAGGCTACAATCAAAGAATTTACTTTGCTAATAAGTATGCATCAAATTTGCCTCTTGAAAGAACTTTTTTGATAAATTGCAGGTCCTGAATTTAGACTAGTCTACCTCATTAAATAATACTATATGTAAATGCATGTTCATTCAGTTGTTCATCTAGTTAAACTGAGTCCTTTTTCTGCACTGTATAAGCTGCAGGAAAAAATAAGGGCAATACGGATTGATTTGGGAGCTGTAGGTTAGTGGTAATGGGTAATCAACGAATTCATAATGCAGCAAAATAGCCAACTTTAGAAGAGAACTATATGTAATTTTGATGGTGTCTAATCTCATTTTGCATAGCCCCCTGAATATAAATGGCTCTAGCCTGAAGTTTCTAGTGATTTCTAGGCCTTTAAGTCACTTTGAAGACACCTAAATAATCATAAAGGGATAAATTGGCAACGCAGTTTTCATTACTGTTGTAGGAATTCTGTAGCTCAAATCAGATCACCAGAGAATGACAGATTTTCATTGGTGTGTGTGTTAATTGACTCATTTTGAAATTACTCGTTTTAAATATAGGACCTTAAATCAGTTGGGGAAAGATATTTAGATGTTTGGTTATTTTGTAATGGTTTTATTAAGATATATGGAAAGGAAATCTTGGGTTTTGGAGTTAGGCTATAATCAAACACTTATACATGGATAACATTTGAGTGTAATTAAAATTGATTGCAGAAAGCCAATTTTTAAAAATATGTTATTGCTTTTTACTTCTTTCACCTATTTTACAATTAAATTAAACATGGATTTTCTTTTTCTTTTTTCCTTATTGAGCTTTTACTATTTTTATTTTGAATTTTATATGCTAAAATACTTTTAACAAATAAAATCCTCATCTTTCCTACCAGGACTTAAAGTTTCTAATGGGGAAAAAAGTTCACAGCAATGACACAGTGTGGCATGTTAAGAAGAAAAGTCTTAAATCTTTTATTTAATCTTTACTAAAGTAAATTGCCCTATTCTTTTTCAGTTATACTTGTACAAATATGTAATAATGTCTGTGTTTTTAACCATCTGCTGATGTTGTTAATTTCCTGGTTAAATTTTGTAACAGCTTATAAATTTCACATCAATAAACCTTTATAATTATGTTTTCTCACTCTGAATAAAGTAACAAAGTTTTTAAATAAAGAGTAATTATATTTTATTTAAGTACCTACCTAAAAACTACTATACACAAAAGTTTTTACCTCTTTTTTCTTCATTTCCTTATTATAGTTCTGCAGAATCGGAAGATTTGGCAGTACATTTATACCCAGGAGCTGTTACGATTCAAGGTGTTCTCAAGAGAAAAACTTTGTTAAAGGAAGGCAAAAAGCCTAAAGTAAGATTTTATTATATTTTAACACTTCTAAAAATAGGTAAATGTATAGGACCCTACAAAATATGAAGACAACACTGAGATAAAACCAGGTACATAGTACACTTAAGTAATTTAAGGTACATCTTTGTCTCACTGTTTCTTAATTTGGATTTCAGTTCAAGCGTACATGTAGCGGCTTAAGTCAAGGCCCGCCTGTGCTTCTCTTTGCCCTGATCTATTGCTTGTTCAGAGCTGTTCCTCAGAGAACTGGAAGTACATACTGTTAAGTATTTTAGTGATAAGTTTAGGAAGAATAGAGAACAGAAAGTAATAACCCTAAAATGGAATTCAGCCAGTTTTGTTTGATCAGTTCTAAGTTGTTTAACTCAGTAATGAAGTTTTATTTCCCACATGAAATAGAACTCAGGTATTAAATGTTCTCCGAACCATAATTATGTACCTATATTTTAAAGTTTGATGGACAGCGCTTTCCCACGTAACTCAGAAGTTGTTTTTCCCCAGCAGCAGCAGCACAGTAGTTTGGTGACTGAAGAAAGATCTTTTCTTTTCTCAAACAACACTACATCTAATTTGGAATAAAAACTTGGATATATATCCGCACTTAAAGTTTTTAAAGATAAGGAGAGCTTCTTAAAATATAAAAATCGTTTACATCCGAGTGATCTGGGTTTTGTTGCTTACATTACAATCAGGAAGCTACACCAGGCCAGCTCGTGAACTAAGAACAGGCATGACCGCACCTGCCGTGTGCCACGTGCCAGGAACGGCAGTGGGCGTGCCGCTGAGGAGAAGGGCCCTGGGAAGGGCGGTGGGGTGGGCCTGGTGGGGTGCAGCAAGTGTGGCTGGGGAGAGAAGGTGGTTAGATGGACCAGGGTTGGGTTGTGTCGGGGAAGCAGGCAGTGCGATGGTTTGGAAGGCGATGGGCATAGTGCTGGACTGTGTACTGAACACGAAGAAAGGGAGAGGGGACATGGGTCGGGGAGACCGTGGCAATACTAGATAGTATTAAAAAGTGATAGGATTCTTGATGAGGTCGAGAATTATCTGAACGTCAGTACTACTGGCGCATATTAAGTGGAAGTGATAGGAATACTTGAGGTAAAGATTTCAGAAGCGATGCAACCCCAGGCCGAGGCTGAGATGGCTGATGGGGAGCCGAGCTCAGGACCACGGACGGACTGGGAGGTGACCGCTGACAGGCCAGCAGCATTGTAGTCATGCGCTCGTGTGTGTCCTCTCCAGGTAGCGTCTTGGACAAAATATTGGGCGGCTTTGTGTGGAACCCAACTTTTTTACTACGCTGCCAAGTCTCTGAAGGCGACAGAAAGAAAACATGTAAGTATCCTTCCTGAAAGTTCGCAGTTTCACAGCCTCCTCGTGGCTGTAAGGAAAGTAGCCTGTCCCGCCAGGTGGCTCAGTGGGCTGGAGCATCATCCCTACACCAAAAAGGTTTCGGGTCTGATTCCCGGTCAGGGCACATGCCTGGGTTGGGGGTTCAGTCCAATGTTTCTCTCTCTCATCAGTATTTCTCTTTCTCTCTCTTTCGCCCTCCCCCTCCCCCTTTTCCTCTCCCCCTCTCTCTTTTCTTCTCTCTAAAGTCAGTAAACATATCCTCAGGTAAGGATTAAGAAATAGTAATAATAAAAGCACACAAAGTAGTACTAATGGAATGCAACCATTTTGATTTTTCTCCATATTCTAATCCAGAAGTTCTCACACCTTTCTTATTTGAGTACTGTGATGGAAATATTTTTATGTTGTTAGACCATTCCAAGGAAAGTCTTGGAATAACTTACATATTTTGAAGTTTCTTTTTTGAAGTGTAGAATCTTTCTGTAAATCTTTTTTGTATGCTGTTTGTTTTTATATACCAGTGATATATCTTTGAAAGGAAGAATAATTTTCCATGATTTGTTAATCAAATCTCTTTGAGAGGAATTTTATTTCTAAATCATATGTTTTGTAGGGGAATGAAATTGTTTACCATATTGAGGAAAGGTAAGCCACTAAAAAAAATTAAGCCTTTTTACTACTTCTAAATTTACCCAGATAACACTACAGAATTCTTTATCCTCACAGTTAGCCCTTTAATCAAACCAGAGGTGTGTAATGAGCACATTTTTGGTTTAAGTGAAGGTGGAAAGTGTGGTGAGCTCCCCCGGGCTCTGTCAGCCACACCCACAGGGTCACTGCTGAAGTTCACGGTGGTCACCGCCTGCTGTTCGTCAGTTCACCGTACATTTCCTTGGACAGCACGTTGCTTCATTTCTAACTCTACCTGAAGAGAATCATACAGTCTTCAGCACTGGCTTTTTTGTTCACTGTTACAGTTGTTTAGATGGAGTTCTCACATTGAGGTAGAGGACTTTTTTTTTTTTCTTTTAATTCTGGAAAAATTGACCAAAATGACCACGTACCCAACAAAGTTACATACACTAGTTTCACTAAAATGGTTTGCAGAGTAGTTGCTTCTGGTCAGTATTGTACTCAAAGAGGGGAAAAATTGATGGAGCTCAGTTAAATCCCTTGTCTTCAGGTACAGTTAACTCTTGACAGCTGCTTTGAGACACTTGGTTGGATTTCACTTAGTGGATGATTATGAAGAAGTAGCTATTCAAAATAAAATAGTTTTTTTGTCTTACCTTTATAAAGAAGTCACATTAGAGAACTAATAACTAAATTTGTCATCTACTGCATATGTTAAATATCTTTTTGTGTTTGGTGTTGCCACTCAGTAATATCATATTATGATGGTTTGGGTTTTTAATTATATGATGTTTCTGATAAGTAATATATATATAAGATATTCAGAAATTAGAGCGCGGTTGGCTGTGAGGAAATTAAATCAAATACCAAAGAACTGGGCTATATTACTCATCATTTTAGTTAATACAGTTAAGATTAAAAAAAGAATTATAAGAGCAACATAGAGGGTATAGACTAGGTCCATGTTTATATTTAATATGTATTTTAGGATAGAAGAGATGTGATACAGAATAAAAGCAATAAAGGAAAAAATAATTATCAAACAAAATTTAAATACAAATTGAAAGAAAATATTGGCTATATGTAAGCAGCAGATAAAGAATTAAAATCTTTAAATAAACACAGCACCACCTATGTAGAGTTCTTGCCAAAAATTTTACCTGAATCTAATGGTGATGAAGCCATCAAATCCAGGTTGTGGGACAGTCTCAGGATAACTGGCTTGCTTTCTTAAGACCAGACTGGACCGGTGGAGTTGGGTACAGGGGGGAGCACTGTTTTAGATTAAGAGAGACTAGCATCTTGACAGCTCAGTGCATTGTATGGGCCTTGGCTGAATCCTGGAGGTAGTTTCTTTTTTTTTTAGGTATGAAGGTCATGATTGAGACAATTGAAGAAATTTTAATTTGGACTTTATTTGGTTGTATGCCCGCCACTCCAGCCGAGGCTGCCGCATTGTGGCCTCGCCTGCGCACTCTGGCTTAGAACTTCTGGAGTCGGCCCCTTAAGTTCCACTTCAGACCCTCCTGGAATTCTTCCCGAAATGACACTGAATCTCTAGGTCATTTTAAGGACAATTGAAATCTTGACAACAGCGAACCTTTTTCTTCATCTCCATTGATGTTCCTATATGTCTTTTACCTGTTACACTATCCGGCATGTCTTTTGTTACATGTATTCCTAGGAACCTTCCTCATAAATAACTTTTCTATTTCTAGGGTATAGTGTTACAGTTGACTTTCCTGTTGATCTTTCTGGTGCATCCTTGCTAGTGTTTCTTCTTAGTTTGGTAGGTTTGGGTGGGTTTTCTGAGTAGATAATATTATCGGTGAGTAATGCCAGTTTTCTTTCGTCCTCACTTTTTACTTCTTTTTTATCTTACTCAGCTGACTGCTTAGCCATGGTGGGCATCCTTATCTTAGTACTGATTTTGAAATATTTTTAGCTTCTTACCCTTAAGTGTGTGTGTTACAGGGTTTTGGTTTTGTGTTTTGTTTTGTTTTTTGCTCTTTCTGCTTTGTTTTGTCTGGGTCTGGTGTGAGTTTGTTGTTTATTTGGCAGATACTCCAGTTGAATTAGGAAATGCACTTCTACTCCTAGTCTGTCACAAATACGCATTTATAGTTTATCAAATGCTTTTATTTTACGTCATCTGAGTTGATATTTTCTCTCTTACTCTGTTAATATGGTGGTTTACCTAAATAATTTTTCTAAAGTTGAGCTCACTTTTTTGAAATAAACCCAACTTAGCTGCTTTAATTGACTTCTAACATTAAACCAACCTCACATTCCTGGGATAAATCCAATTTGGTCATCATGTATCAGCTTTTTGTATACTGCTGCATTCAGGTTGCCAATATTTTATTTAAATTTTTTATTTTGTTCATGAAAGAGTAACCTAATTTTTTGTTCTTTTATAACAGCTCTTTTTTTGTTACTAAAGTGTAACTTTAAAAAACTAGGAAAGTAACAAGCATGCTAAGAATAATGTTTTCATGTATATTATTAAGAATTGTCTAGTAACACTGCTGGTTTATGAAATCATCAGGGTTAAGAGAACACCCCTACTACATCGTACACCTTAAATTTACACAATATTCTAAGTCAGTTATATCTGTAAACAGGGGGTTGGGAGAGAGAGCATCTCTATTAAAATGCAGCTGTGTTTCCTCTAAGAAAGGGGTGAAGGGTAGCACAGTGACAGACCAAACGACATAGATGAACTTTATCAGTCTGTTTGTTTGTTTGTTTATCCTCACCCGAGGATATTTTTCCATTTTTTGTACAGATAGAGTGGGAGGGAGAGAGCGAGAGAGAGAGAAACATCGATGTGAAAGGGACACATCGAGTGGCTGCCACCCGCACAACCAACCAGGGCCGGGGACAAACTACAACCGAAGTACGTGCCCTTAGCGGGAACTGAACCCGGGTCTCTCCGGACAGTAGGCCGACGCTCTAACCACTGTGCCAAACCGGCCAGGGCAACGTTTGTTTGTTTTTTATCTATCCTCAATCGAGAACATTTTTCCATTTTTTGTTCAGGTAGAGTGGGAGGGACAGAGAGGAAGAAAGAGAGAAAAACATCAACATGAAAGGGACACATCGAATGGCTGCCTCCTGCACGACCCAACCAGGGCCGGGGACAAACTGCAACCGAGGCACGTGCCCTTAGAGGGAACTGAATCCGAGTCTCTGTGGACCGCAGGCCGACGCTCTAACCGCTGAGCCAAACCGGCCAGGGCATCTTATCAGTCTGTTAACAGGGCATGCTCTTTGGGCGGACAGCAGGCCAGTCAGGAGCTGATGAAGAGCTGACACTGGGAAAGGTCTGGAAAGCAGGAGAGCACCTCCCCGAGGCGAGCAGGGCGGACTTTCCTAGCAAACGGCCCTGACACCTGAGCCTGGAGTCACAGATCTCACCTCTCACTGGGCGGCGCTGAAGACATGCTCCTTGTCACTTACATTTTGCTGAGGATGATCCGCAAGATAACTGCTAACCTTCTTTCTGTCTCTCAGTTCAAATCAACATCGAATAAGAACGTATCTGTGGTGGGATGGATGGTGATGATGGCTGATGACCCGGAGCATCCCGACCTCTTCCTGCTCACGGACTCGGAGAAAGGTGAGTCATTAGCCTGACCAGGAAGGTGCTACGTTTAGGTCACTTTCAGTAAGCCAGAGCCTGGTTTAACTCGGTTCATACTTGACTGGGAGAAGGTTTGTGTAGTTCCATCTTTTTGGAAATATTTTCGTCACATAGTGTATAGTAATGATATCAGTATTTGTAGTTATCAATTACTATTTATTAATTGCTTATTTAATATACTTATCTTCTCTGCTGCAGGAGCATAAGCTTGAAATTAAAAGTCCACATGCTCCCTAGAGAGCTAATAGCCAGGAAGGGAAGAAGGGAGGGAGGAGGGGAGGGAGGGAACGGGGGGCTCTGAGAACTGGGCCCCGGCCCCCCGAAAGCTCTGCGGCCTGACGTGTGCACAGTGCCCTCATTTGTGCCCTGGCCTGAACTGTTATTCTCACGTTCTGAGTGTGGCAGAAGTTTCCTTTAAAAGATTTTTATTCCATTACCTTTAATAAAATTAATTGCTTATTTGACTCAAAGCACTTTCTAAAGAAGTACAATTTTAATTATACTTTGCTTATAACACAGTAGAGGCATTTATGAATAAAATTATTGGCTGTTGCCCTGGCCGGTTTGGCTCAGCAGTCAGAGCGTTGGCCTGCGGTCCAGAGAGACCCAGGTTCGGTTCCCGCTAAGGGCACGTACCTCGGTTGCAGTCTGTCCTTGGCCCTGGTTGGTCGTGCGGGTGGCAGCCACTCGATGTGTCCCTTTCAAGTCGATGTTTCTCTCTCTCTCTTTCTCTCTCTTCCTCTCTCCTTCTCACTCTATCCGAACAGAAGATGGGAAAGTGTCCTCGGGTGAGGATTAGAAAAAAAAATTATTGGCTGTTGACTGTGGGAGCAAGGTGGAGGGTAGCTACAGTATCACACAGCTCCGGGCTCTGCCCCTGCGTGTGGGACCTCAGGCAGCTGGCAGACAGGGCCTGCGGTGGTGGCCGCTCTTCCCCACGACGCCTGCGGCTGGTACCAGCCAGGAACCACTCGCACAGACACTGCGTTCCAGACCGTGCAGTTCTGTACTGACCTCTGTTTGTTCAGAACTGCATTTCCTATCAACAGATAGTCTGCTTGCAGGGTATTGTGGTGTCTTAAGTAAAAATGTGAGCAAAATATGTTGGACACAGAAAAAAATAGTAATTGTGGCCAGCTTAGTTGTAGAAATGCCTTCTGTTTAGATTGCGCTGATGGCCCTGGCCGGTTTGGCTTAGCGGTTGGAGCGTCGGCCTGCGGTCCTGAGAGACCCGGGTTCGGTTCCCGCTAAGGGCACGTACCTCAGCTATAGTTTGTCCCCGGCCCTGGTCGGTCGTGCGGGTGGCAGCCACTCGATGTGTCCCTTTCACATCGATGTTTCCCTCTCTCTCTCCCTCCCGCTCTATGTACAAACAAATGGAAAAATGTCCTCAGGTGAGGATAAAGAAAGAAAAAAATTGTAGATTGCGCTGATGTGTGCATCTGAGTTCAGCAAGCAAAACAGTATTCTTTTTTTTGAATCCTCACCTGAGGATATTTTTCTGTTTATCATCAGATAGAGTGGGAGAGGGGGGGAGAGAGAGACATTGACGTGAGAGAGACACATCGGTTGGTTGCCTCCCGAACGACCCCAGCCAGGGCCAGTGAAGAGCTACAACCGAAGTGCATGCCCTTGACTGGAATCGAACCCAAGACTCATTGTTCCGTGGTTCAGCATTCTAACCCCTGAGCAAAACCATTAAGAGCGCAAAACAGTATTTTAATTTTAATAATTAAATATTTGGTGAAGCCAAACCATTGCTTCTGAAGGTGAAAATGTTCTTCGAGTGTTAAAATCTAAAGGAAAAGCTGTATGATGCCTGAATGCAGATTAGGCTCCTGGGCCACTGAATGTAGTTATAAAGAAGAGTAGAAGTTGGTGAGAATTGGGAAATAAGAACTTTGGTCAACAAAAGAAGGAAATAAAGCTCAAATTAAGGCAGGGTATAGTACATGAATCCTTCTTTTTCTCCGTTTATCACCTTAATACATATAACCATATCAAAGTCCTTGTTATGTGTCAGCCTTGAAGTAGAGTCAACATCAGGTTTACTAAACACACACAACATAGATGAATTTCTAATTTCCTGAGAGAAGGGTGCCTTCTCCTATTTTCCCTGAAAGCCCTTTAATAGGCCTGGAAACCTGTGGTAGTTCTGACAGATGTAACTAAGAACTAAAGGCCAGCTGGGATAGGGTTAGCTGATCAGTCCTTTCTTCACCTTAAATAGCTAATGTCTAAGTAGTAAACATTTAGTGTTGAAGTATTTTGGCCTGTGAAAGCTTCACGTTAACATCTCCTAACGGTTAGATCATCTAAGCAGCATTGGTCGCTGGTTGCTGCACCTCATCCACACGGACAAATCTAGAGAGAGCCCAGCAACTATATTTAGATACAGTTTACTCAAAAGAACACTTAAGGAGCCAAAATTACTTCTCTCCCAGTCCACAAACAGCAAAACTAACTTTCTGCGTAAGGACGTCAGGGGAATGTAGCCGGGAGAACTCTCTGGATTGGGAAACCGGGTGCTGGAGAAACAATTCTGTGTGTCAGAGTCCTCATGTTTTTATTATTTCCCCCTTGTTTTTGATCATTTTAGGAAATTCATACAAGTTTCAGGCGGGCAATAGGATGAACGCGATGCTGTGGTTTAAGCATCTGAGTGCCGCCTGCCGAAGCAACAAACCACAGGTGAGCACTCTCTTCACCCTCAGATCCGCAGCCCTGCCTGCGGTTGAGAGTTCCAAAGAGAAGGGGGTAGACTGATTTTCTGGATTAGATGGGAACATGGTTTTGTTTTTATTCTTTTTCTTGTTGACAGTAGTTAACAAGACATAAAGTCTACATTTTAGTGAAGTGGTCAATGAACAAATAACAAAATTTCAAATAATGAAAACTAGACAAGAAAATAAAATAGAATTATGTGATACAAAGTGATGGGAGTAGAGACATTTTAAATACATAAGAGTGCGCAGCAAAGAGCTCCCTAAGGAGATGACGTTGGCATGGATGACAAGAAGGAACGGCCGTGTGAAAATTAGGGGCAGAGTCCAGCAGGGGAAGCCGGCAGAGACCCTGGAGCTGCGTGCGCTGAAGGTAACACGCGGCCCTGCTGCTTGAGGAAGCAAGAGGCACATTCATTCCGAGTCACCCGCTTGTTCTAGTGACAGCTCGGTGTGGCTTTCTGTGGCTGCAGTGGAACCCAAAACCATTTGGATTTTTTTTGTTTTTATTTTACTGAAACAAAGGCTTTCAGCTGCAAAGAAGAATAAATCCAAGGTGGTGTTTTCCCCAAGCCCTGTCATAGATTTAAAGTTGAACCACAAATTGGTTGAACAGACATAAAATAAACACAACTGCAGTTATGGAAATCTCTATAGACTTTTTAGACCAGTTTTTAGCTGAATATATATGAGAATCACTGGCTTAAGATACTGAAATACAGTGTTATCAGTAGCTAATTTTGCATAACATAATTTACTGTGTAAATTTATAAAGCTTATAAAAGTATTTTTTTACCCTGTGAAATCAGGACTCCTTTTATGACAGGGAGGCTCTAAGGCTCAGAGATGCTAAGTGACCTATTCAGGGTCAAACAAGTAAAAAGTGGTGAATCTGAGATATAAACTGTCTTCATTCGAAGTATTATCGGGGTGGACCTTGTTTGCCTATAATTTTTATTTCAAATACATATAAAAGACTAATAGCAGTATTTGGTACCATTTTTAGCAATCTCCATTAAAGACATGAAATGCCATTGAGCAAAAATTACTTTCTTGCACTTGTCAAGTTAGTGTCGGACTGAATGGAAGACTTCTTTTCCTTGACTAAGTTTGTTAGGACTCAGCACCACGCTATACCCTTTATTTAAATGTAGCTTAAAGGGTTTTTGGGGTTTTTTTTGTTCATCTTCACCCAAGGATATTTTTTCCATTAATTTTTTTAGAAAGGGTATAATGGGGGGAGGGATACATCGATGTGAGAGAGACTCATCGATTGGTTGCCTCCCGAACTCACCCCAATGGGGGCTGGAGATTGAACCTGCAACCCAGGTATGTTTTCTTGAGTGGTGCATGGGCTATCATGTCATTTTTTTTAAATCTCAGATTTCAAGATTAATCTAGACATTGTGTGTGTATACCAGCATAGAGGTTCAATTATTTTTACTATGTTAGTGAACCTTCTTGCTGAACAAGTCAGCTAGATGTGTATAAATGGCTTTTGTTGGTTTGCTTGTTTCTAGACTTACAAGAATCAGAGTAGTGGCAAATTTAATAGAAGCTATGATGTTTGAATATTTCAAAGATTCTGATTGACTTAAATACAATACCTTAAACCACATTCAGGCAACTTAGGAGGAAATGAAACTTTTACTTTATTTAAATATGGGTTTCTTATGACCAGACCTGAGAGTTTATACTTTCTCTTAAGCCTTTGAGCATTTGCATTGTATTTGATTTATAATTCAGTTACGACTATATTGTCAAATAATTTTTCATTCAGAAGCTGACACGTGTAGGAGGTTCATTTTTTTTTAGTATCTTAGGTTTTCAAAAAAAGATTCCTGAAGAGCGAGAGCAGTTACGCTCTTTTAAAGACAGAGAAATGGCCACTGGTGTGTGAATATCTATGAGCACAACTCTGAAAATTTGGTGGTAAAAGTTAGGAGCATTTTCTAAACATGGTGAAACCCTTTTTCAGTCCTTGACTAGAGAACTCATCAAATAATTTTAGAAAATAAAATACTCATATGTTTCAAAGAATTATTGTTGAATTTCAGAGTCATGAAGTTAGATCAGAATTCATCTAATACCGAGTTTTATTCTTCATACTTATTTTCCTAATGATTTCACAAATAAATGTGTAGTAAGGTTTGTTATAAAATTATCTGTTCTGGATTTGAAAATTTGCATGTAGGAATTCATTCTAATACTTTTTTTTTTTTTTTTTGTCATTACTGGAGGGCACTTTTGCATTTATCTTCATATAGAGCAGGAGGGAGAGAGGGAGGAAGAGAGAGAGAAAGAGAGAGAAAAACATTGATGTGAGAGAGACACATTAACTGGTTGCCACCCACACAACCCCAACTGGGGCCTGGGACAAACTACATCCAAGGCACATGCCCCTAGCGGGAACCGAACCGGGGACTCTCTGGTCCGCGGGCTGATGCTCTAACCGCTGAGCAAAACTGACCAGGGCTCATTCTGATACTTAATAAATGTTAACAAGCATGTTTGTCTGGAATCTCCTCCCACTAAGAGCCATACTTATTCACTCAGAGAACATTTCCTGAGCTCCTTGTCTTAGACAGGAAAGATGCTGTCGTCACCTTTCTCCATCCAAATTTCAGTTTACTAGAAAAGGAATTAATTCATCTCAGTGATTTTCTCCAAAAATGTTCTAGTGTCTTTTATTGATTATTCTTAAATGATTTCATTACTTTCTATCACATTCCTTTTTTTAAAAAAGATATTTTAGCCCTGGTCAGTGTGGCTCAGTTGGATGTCACGTGATGTGCAGAAAGTTCGCCAGTTCAATTCCTGGTCAGGGCACATGCCAGGGTTGTGGGCTCTATTCCCAGTGTGGGGCATGCAGGAGGTGGCCAATCGATGTTCTGCTCTCAAATAGATGTTTCTCTTTCTCTCCCCCTCTCCCTTCCTCTCTCTCCAAAAATCCATTTAAAAATATATTTTTGCTCTGGCCGGTTTTGCTCAGCAGTTAGAGCGTCAGCCCTTGGACCGAAGAGTCACGGGTTTGATTCTGGTTTGATTCCGGTCAAGGGCATGTACCTCTGTTGCTGTTAGATCCCCGGCCCTGGTTGGGTCATGCTGGAGGCAACCAGTGGATGTGTCTCTCTCACATCTGATGTTTCTCTCTCTCTCCCTCTCTCTCCCACTCTATCTGAAAAAAATCAGTGGAAGAATATCCTCAGGTGAGGATTAAAAAAATTAAATGCTATCAGTTTGTAGATGGACCTACAGGGTATTATGCTCAGTGAAATAAGTCAGGCAGAGAAAGACAAATACCATATGATTTCACTTACATGTGGAATCTAAAAAAACAAAATAAATTAACAAATAAAACAGAAACAGACTCATTGATACAGAAAACACTGATGGATGCCGGAGGGGAGGGGGTGAGGGTGAGGTGGGAAAGGTGAAGGGATTGAGAGGTACAGATTGACAGTCACAGAGTAGTCCTGGGCTATAAAGTACAGCACAAGGAATACAGGCAGTAACACAGTAATAACTGCATGGTGCCAGGTGGGTACTAAACTTATCGGCGAGATCCCCTCATAAGTTATAAATGTCTAATCATGGGATTGTACACCTGAAACTAATATAATATTGAATGTCAGTTGTAATTGAAAATTTTTAATAAAAATAGATACTGTTGTTGTATAATGCTTATATTTTTTAGGTTCCTACAAACTTGATGACTTTCGAGTAAGAGCCGAAGGAAGAAGGGAGGTGAACTGCTGCCCCAGCGTGCGAGCAGGGACCTGGTGGGCGAGCGCCAGCTAATCACCAGCCCTGGCGGGGGCGCCCGGAGCTTCCATCCCAGCCTCCGGAGTTCTGAACCAAAAAGCACTCATTCCGGGGAGTGACGCGAGACATTCCCAGAGAGCCAATCGGAGGTGCGAAACAAACTGCCATGGACCATGCTCATCTCTGAACTGACCTGTGGAAACCACTGCCTTAAAAGAACGAAAGGAAAACCAACACAATACACCAAATAGTGTGTGTGAATCTCCTGGCGGTGCTGTGCTTGGAATAGATCATAGCTTATTTGCATTTCTCTGAACTTTGTGCTAATTTGGGGGGGAGAGGTCGCCTTTTTTAGACACACTTGAAAAAGGAAAAACAGGTTTCTAGCGGGTTGCATCCAGAGCTGGTTTTGAACCACTGTAAAGGAATCTGACGAGCAGCGTTTACCAGCAGCCTCCCCACAGCTTGCTCGCCCCTGGGCTGCTGTGGCCCTCCAGCTCCCCGCACAGGGGGCCTAGAAATCCAAGTTGTTGGGACTTTGTTTGGGACTTGGGGAGGGTTTTGTTTGGTTTTGGATGAGGGAAGGTATTTTTAAACACTAAACTTCTGAGATTTAGGACTGTATGGGGAACACAACTTCCTGCAGGAGGTATAAAGGCCAAGTGTTCACGTGCCAGGCACTTCTCCACGTGGGCTCCAGAAAACGTGGTTGTTTTAACTGGGTTTCAGGTGAGCCTTCTGTAAGAATTCATTGTCGGGCCACAGATCTGCTTAGTCGGGATTGTAATCCCCTCCAAAGTCCCTGAGATCTTACACACATCACCTTTTTCAATTTAGTCGGATTGGCTCTTCTACCAGGCACAGGTGATTTTTATCATCAAGGAGATAAAGTGGTATTTCTCTTTACATTGTTTATTGTGCACAATGCCAGTTTTTTTTTTAATTTGTTTTCATTATTTTTGTTCAACATGAGATTCAGGATCACATTTGTTTAAAAGAGTCCACATGTGTATGTGTTTTATTATAAGGCATACAAAGTAATTTTAAAAGGTAAAGGTGAGAGATTGAGGTTCTGGGAATTTAAAGAATCAAAACTCTCCTTCTTATACAACTTTCCTTGATTACAAAATGTTTTCCTGAAAACTTATTACATCTATAGGTCACTGCCATGACCATATTTTGTCAGTAGTTGACCAGGCAGTTTTGTGAGGGCTCTTCTATGCAATAATGCATTTAATATCCAAAAATAAATGTTGAATTAGTGGAAAAAAAGATTGAAGGTAAGATGCCTTAGAGTTTTAACAACAAATGGCATTTGAAAAAGGCTACGTGTTGGATGTTATAAACTCTTGAGGCATCGGAGGGCCTAGCATGGCCCAGAGTAAGAAACGCTTCTGACTGATACCTTCTGCTAGGCTTCTGTTACTTCGGCCTCACACAGAATTCCTCACATTTATATTCTTAGGAAATAGTATACTTTTTTTAAATCATAAGTATTTCACTCTTGAATCCATGAAACATAAATAGGAAATATTGCCCACAGAGTAATTAGCTAAATGTCTATCCAAGGGAAGTAGAAGGCCTCTTTCTGAGCGCTAAGTTTTTCAACGTAGATCTGTTTCGAAAAGATGGTAAGAGCTCAGATATGTTTCTCACATAGCACAGTTAAAATAGCATTTCTGGTTTTGTGGCAAATGACAAGCGTGGCCTGTACTGAAGGTTTCTCAATGACCTCCCGAGCGTAGCCCACGTTGGGTGCCTGGAGACACCTCTGCAGAGCCGGCAGTATTACGTGTAGACCTTGCACATCTTTTATTTTGCGTTTTTTTTAATTTTCTTAATTTGTTTATTTCTCTTCAGAAACAAGTGTTTTTAACAGTTGTATGTGCTTTTTAAAAAATATTGTGGATGAGAACCCTGTGGATTTTTTTATTTGTTTGTTTGTTTGTCATAAGTTAGCTGCAGTAGGTAGGCTGTCGGTAACCCTGTCTGGAGCTGGGCCCCTGGAAGCCGGAGCCTGGCCTCACACAGTTTTGCCAGAGAGGGAGCTGGCTGGAGGATGTGTTTGATATTTTCAGCTCTGAACAGGGGTGGATGCCCGCGCAGACTAAGGGTGGTGTTCAGGTTTGGTACACAGTCCACGTGTCTGAAACTTCACGTAACTGCACAGAGGACGCCGTTGTTCTTCTCCTTCAGATGTGTCCATTCAGAAGATTGGTCATTGCTTTTTAAGGTTATTTGAGCATTTGAAGCAAACAGAAACCAATGAGAGAAGTGGATTAAACTGGTGTAGGTAAATCGTTTTATCTGTAGTTCACCAAATGATATCCAGTCATAATTCAAGCAAAGGAAGTGTGTCACCAACATATGTTAAATATTTAGGCAGTTTATTAGTGGGATGATAAATTTTATTTTCCTCTTAGCAGGCCTGCCCCTTATAAATTAGTAAATTGGTGACTCGGCAGCTTGAAATTTCCGTCAATATTAAGTTCATTTGTTTCTCTCCTAGCCAAGAGCTCGTAGAAATGATTATTTCAATGTACGCTAGTTTATGTTGAGCATAATGGTTGGCATATGGTGTGGCCCAGTGTAGAAGAATGTAATAACAGCCAAAATACACTTGAGACACATCTCATGTAACAGTTTATCTGAACATGGAAGCTCATTTTTCATAAGGAAGTAACATACCAATTTTTAAATTTTAACTATGAAAAGAACTGCATAATGACCTCCTAGAGCATTATTTTTAGTTTCATGCCCTGTCTGTGTTAGGGCTCTGCTTATTTTTTCAGAGGTATTATTTTTTTACTGTAACCTCCAAAATGTAAGAATTGAAAGAACTGATCAAACACACCTTCCTATTTTGTTTTCTTTACTATGTAAATATTGTCTGTGTGAACATTACAAAAAGGGATCCAAACGATTCGAGTTTGAGTATTTTTTCTCCCTGGGCCTGTGCTTCAGTGACGATGTTTCTCCTGTGTGGGAAATGCCGTAGACTAGTGCACGCCCTTCTGTGTGGACTGTCCTGGTACTCGGTCTTTCTGTGTGTCGAGAGTTAAGGTATTTATAGCTGCAAAGTTTTTATAAGTGGCTTTGTTCCTCTTCTAGAAGTTTGATAAAAGGAGACCCAGGAGCACTATTGTTACAGAAGGAAACAATGTTTACAGTGTCTAGTGTACACGTTCTGTAGATCCGTAGGAGCGGCCCTCTAAGAGCCGGCTGGTCTGCTGATCTTCAGGGTTACTAGAATCTCCATGACCAAATGACTTAGCAGAAGTCTTTTTTCTTTTTCCTTTTTTAGGTTAAATCTGAAGCTGTATGCCTTGACTACTGAAAACAGAACTAGAGGGCATCATAGTATTTGGAAATCGATAATAATAGATTTGCTCCATTAACTTTTAAATGTATATATATATATATCTCCACTATTGACACTGTTCCTGTCTTTGGAGGCACATTCCTTTACAACCAACCAGTTGTTAAACTGCCACGTTGTCTTCTGCAAACAAGGGGGCCAGTGTTGCTTAGCAGGAGATAATCTGTAGTAAAGGAAACCCTCTGTTTCAGAGGCTTTTGAAATAATTGGATCCCTTTTGGGAAGTGAAGATAAATTGGCCACATCCCGGCGGAACAGGAGCAGCGCCGCCGGCGCACGAGCAGGTGGTGCATCTGCCGGACCTTCGTGTCTGTTAGAGTTGGCTCCTCTTTCCTCTCTTCTCTTGTATTTTTTCTTTCAAAGATTTTACAGCCAGAGTGGTTTTCTGTTTTTTCTAAGCTTTGAGATACAAACATTGTTATTTAACCACATTTAGGATCATTAATTTTCATGTGAGGTCAGCCTTTTCAAAATGACTTAAGTACTTTTCACTTTTGCTCCCCGAAAAATGGCTTGTGTCTAAAATGACTCCCCCCCCACACCCAGAGGATTCTAATGAAAGAGATCTGTGTGTGCAAACTCTTAAGCTTATTGAAAGCAACTTCATTACACTGATATCTCAAGTTGTAGTGGAGGAGAATTGGGTCAGTGCCTTATCAATTTGAAGACCAGTTGTAGGGCATCGAGTGTGACTAATCATTTGCCCTCTTACTCCTCATGCTGGGAGTGTGTGCTGTCTACCCCTCTCCCCAGCAGCCCACCGTCTCGGCCAGTCTGAGAAAGTCTACACAGGGACCGCTAGGCGATTGGTGCAGTTCTTGGTTCCGAGTCTTTTTAGACAAGCTCCCTCCCTGCCCTTCTTGCAGGTAGAGATTAAAAATAAATCCACCCGAATCACCCTTCGGATAAATACTCTTAAGAACAACTTGGAAGCGCACCCATCACGCTGAGTTTATGTTTATTTTGTGTTGATTTTTTTTTTAGCATACACTTAATTATAAGGCCTTTCAGAAAATCTGTAAAAGAAGATGATACAGCCACAAAGATTTGTTTGGGTTTTATGAAAGCTATTGAAGTCTTATCATGAGAATCCCTTCAGCCAGAAGTGAGGTTTAGTTTGGTTCATTCTTATATTTGATTAAGACTCAGAGCAAACAAGCAGTTGCTTAACCTACCAGTTCTTGTTTGAAAACATGGTGGAAAAGTGAAAACAACTCCCATGTGTAAACTAAAGGGAAGCGAAGAGACTAAATTTCCCAGCACAAGCAAGGCTTGCAAACATTTTGCTTCTCTGTGATTATTGCAAGATCTGGAACCACTGTTGTCCCACTGAATCAAGGTGCTGCTTTCAAAAGTATTAAAGGGCTTGTCTGCTCCAGAGTAGCAAGTAGACAAGGTCCTTGGGGCTTAGTAGCAGAATTTCAGTTTCGATTCTAGCCATTGGGATGGCAGAGTAGTGATGAGATTCAAGGAATACATAATTAGAGTGCTCTGGGATTGAAGTAGGTTTTTTCATAGAAAACTGCGTAATATTAGCCATGTTTTAGATACCAGGTAAATACTAAGTTTACCCTGAAGATATCGCCTATTAGAACTATTCACAAATATAGTCCAGTAATTATTGACTTACCAGGCCTGACAGCATAGCTGGTAAGAAGTCACCAGACTCACAAGAGTTTCTACACTTTGATTATTGACAAATTCATTGTTTTCCAGCCTACTGAAGTGAGGATGTGTGGGGAGGGTTGGGAACTCACATTGTGGTCTGACAGAGAGAAACATCTGTGGGGATGAGTATCCGGTGATGACTGTATGCAGGAAAACAAGCCATTTTACCCTCTGTCCCAGTGACCTTGAAATGTTCAAGGTGAAGCACTCTATTGCACTGGGACCTCCCTGAGTGACATGCTCGGTTCCTCTCGTT